GACAGTAATTCATGGTGTGCGCTAGTTGGTGTGAGGACACAATACCTTTTAGAAAATATTCCGATGTAGCATGATATTTTCTTTGAGTGGCATATTTAGAAGCTAGTGAATCAGAAAAGAACATATTTTATGGATGAAGAACTTCTTTTTTTGGGAGATGCGACGTTTCGATACAGATTCTTGTATCGTTATCAAGCAAGTATGAGTCAGGTAAGAAAAGAGGGTTATATATAAGGCCTGTACGACTGCCCGAGATGGGATAGATTTCTGCCGGACGGTCTAATTTTACAGCTAACCAGCCCGATGGAAGGGTGAAAAAAAATATTCAGATTACGTGTCCATTGGCACTGTCCATTTAGTATTCAAGGAGGACTGGTTAAATCTCTTCTGGACTGGTAATTTTTTTAAGTTACCAGCCCAGATGTCTGGCTGGGTTTTGGGCTTATTTCATACACTGATTATATATATATATATAATTTGGGAGATGCGACGTTTCGATACAGATTCTTGTATCGTTATCAAACAAGTATGAGTCAGGTGAGAAAAGAGGGATATATGTATATATTAATTAATTAATTAATTAACAAGAACAACAAGAAGTTCATAATTGGGAAGTACCGTAATAATGTGATGACAAGGAATTACATGTAGAAGCCAATGACAGTGGATACATGTAGTGTACAAATGTGGCTACAAATCTCAGGTTGAACATTTTAGCATTGACAGCTCAAGGCATGATGACTTCTTCCAAAAGCATCCATTATGTGTTTGATGGGATTGAGGTCAGGTGATCTCAGTGGCCACTTCATGACGTCAATACCTGTAGTTTGAATGAAATTTTGTGTCCGAACAGCTGTGTGTGGTGTCGTATTGTCATGTTGGAATTGAAGGCCTTCAGCATGAGCAGACCTTAACAGCACCAGTACAAGGACCTGGTCGTGACATCCTACTGCATTGAGGTTCCCACGAATTCCTGCAGAAAGCTCCCTAGGTTAAACCTGGCTGTTTGGTAGAGAGAGTGAGTTTGGTTTTATGCTGCTTTCAGCTATATTCCAGCAATATCACGAGAGAGGACACCAGAAATGGGATCGTTTGGTATAGACTACCAGTTGTCAGGCTTCCATTTTCACGGAAGCCGTGGTGGCTGAGTGGGTTAGAATGCTGACTTTGTGTGCTGGTGATAGGTTGCATCACTCTGGTAAGAGTGGCCCAGTGGTTTCAGGTGCAGCTGATCCATCTGCTAGTATATAGTTTGAATCCCAGCTTCACCACTGAGCTAGTATTTTGTATTGAATAGGACCAGCTCGGTGGTGTGATGTCTTACCAAAGAGGTGATGGGGTAGCCTTGTGGTTAAAGGGTTGGCTCCTCATCCCAAAGACCCCTACCTTTGTACAATGTGTGACACAGCGTTAAAACCTCATTCTGTTTGGCCTAGTGTTGAATGTGTTAATGCAAGCAATGTTGGTCTCATTAGGACTGGGTTCTTAGACTTCATCCCAACACTAGACACTACTACAGCTCCACACACTGTTCCTTGGTTCAATACACTGTTCCTTGGTTCAATTCATTGTGCCATGGCTTCACACACTGTTCCTTGGTTCAGTACACTGTTCCTTGGTTCAATCCATTGTACCATGGCTTCACACACTGTTCCTTGGTTCAATCAATTGTACCATGGCTTCACACACTGTTCCTTGGTTTAACACACTGTTCCTTGGTTCAATCCATTGTACCATGGCTTCCCACACTGTTCCTTGATTCAATCCATCGTACCATGGCTTCTCACACTGTACCTTGGTTCAATCCATTGTACCATGGCTTCACACACTGTTCCTTGGTTCAATCCATTGTACCATGGCTTCCCACACTGTTCCTTGGTTCATTCCATTGTACCATGGCTTCCCACACTGTTCCTTGGTTCAATCCATTGTACCACGGCTTCACACACTGTTCCTTGGTCCACCACTGTACGATGGCTTTACACACTGTTCCTTGGTTCAATCAACCGCCTCCGTGGTGTAGTGGTTAAAGCGTTCGCTCGTCACGCCGGCTCGGAGTCAGTATAATGTGTCTGAGTGGGGTATTCATGCTTCACTGCTGCATGGTATCTCAGTGGGCTAGCACTATAAAACCAGCTTAAGTCTGGGCTAATACAAGCAGCCACACATACACATACACACGCATGCACGTCGTCATATGAGTGAAATATTCTCAAGAACGACGTTAAACCAAATTTCACCTATCTTCACCTCAACTTGGTTCAATCCATTGTACCATGGCTTCACACACTGTTGCTTGGTTCAATCCATTGTACCATGGCTTCACACATTGTACCATGGCTTCACACACTGTTCCGTCACGATATGGCTGCAATATTGCCGATGTGACGTTAAATATTAACTCACTCACTCACACACTGTTCCTTGGTTCAATCCACTGCACCATGGCTTCACACACTGTTCCTTGGTTAAGCACACTGTTCCTTGCTTCAACCCATTGTACCATGGCTTCACACACTGTTCCTCGGTTTAACACACTGCTCCTTAGTTCAATCCATTGTACCATGCCTTCAAACACTGTTCCTTGGTTTAACACAATGCACCATGCCTTCACACACTGTTAATTGGTTCAGTCCACTGTACCATGGCTTCACACACTGTTCCTTGGTTCAGTCCATTGTACCATGGCTTCACACAATGTTCCTTGGTTCAGTCCATTGTACCATGGCTTCACACACTGTACCTTGGTTCAGTCCATTGTACCATTGCTTCACACACTGTTCCTTGGTTCAGTCCATTGTACCATGGCTTCACACAATGTTCCTTGATTCAATCCATTGCACCATGACTTCACACACTATACCTTGATTCAATCCATTGTACCATGGCTTCACACACTGTTAATTGGTTCCATCCATTGCACCATGGCTTCCCACACTGCACCTTGGTTCAATCCATTGTACAATGGCTTCACACACTGTTCCCTGGTTTAACACAATGCACCATGGCTTCACACACTGTTCCCTGGTTTAACACAATGCACCATGACTTCACACACTGTTCCTTGGTTCAGTCCACTGTACCATTGCTTCACACAATGTTTCTTGGTACAGTCCATTGTACCATGGCTTCACACACTGTACCTTGGTTCAGTCCATTGTACCATTGCTTCACACACTGTTCCTTGGTTCAGTCCATTGTACCATGGCTTCACACAATGTTCCTTGATTCAATCCATTGCACCATGACTTCACACACTATACCTTGATTCAATCCATTGTACCATGGCTTCACACACTGTTCCTTGGTTCAATCCATTGTACCATAGCTTCACACACTGTTCCTTGGTTCAATCCATTGCACCTTGGTTTAATACACTGTACCATGGCTTCCCACACTGTACCTTGGTTTAACACATTGCACCATGACTTCCCACTCTTTACCATGGCTTCCCACACTGTGTCATGGTTTAATACAATGTACCATGGCTTCTCACAATGTACCATGGTTTACTACAATGTACCATGGCTTACCACATTGTACCATGGTTTAACACATTGTACTATGGCTTCCCAGACTATAGTTTTTTTAACACACTGTGTCATGGCTTCCCACACAGCACCATGGTTTAACACATTTTTGTACCATGGCTTCCCACATTGTACCTTGGTTTTATACATTGTACCATGGCTTCCTACACTGTACCTTGGTTTAATAATTGTACCATGGCTTCTCATGTTGTACCTTGGGTTTAACACACTGTCTTTTGGCTTCCCACACTGTACCTTGGTTTAATACATTGTACCATGGCTTCCTATATTGTACCTTGGTTTAACACACTGTCCCTTGGCCTCCCACACTGTACAATGGTTTAATACATTGTACCATGGCTTCCCACACTGTCCCTTGGCTTCCCACACTTAATCTTGGTTTAATACACTGTACCATGTCTAACCACACTGTACCTTGGTTCAACATACTATACAATGGTTTAACACACTGTACCATGGCTTTCCAGACTATAGCTTTTTTTTTAACACACTGTGCCATGGCTTCCCACAGTGTACCTTGGCTTCCCACACTTTACCATGGCTTTCCACACTGTACCATGGTTTAACATATTGTTCCATGACTTCCCACAATGTAATTTGGTTTAACTCATTGTACCTTGGCGTCCCATACTCGGTACTCGGCAATATTCCATCTGTCTGTCAATAAAAGTCTGTAAATAATCCAGTCTAGACCAGACAATCCAGTGATCAACATCATGAACATTGATCTACGCTGCTGGAATACAATGACATTATTATAGGATATGTATATAGCGCACATATCCAGGCAACTAGTGGATGCTCAAGGCGCTGGTATTTTTCCCTCGATCACTGGATGTCAATCTCAATGGCACATCGTATTATCAATCTCAACTCCCCTGGGGAGTATACAACTCTTGCAGCCACCAGGCACACCGAGTTATTGTGACATGTGACAACCAAGACAGCGAGCCTGACCACCCGATCCCATTAGTGGCCTTTTATGACAAGCATGGGTTGCTGAAGACCAGTTCTACCCCGGATCTTCATGGGTCCAATGTAGACTAACACAAACAAGTAACAAGTCATATTTGATTACATAGTTACATTTATTCAGTTCCTTACATATGGTCAGAATCATGGGTACTAGTTGTTTAAGGTCAATATTTCTTGATGTCTGATACAGATTTATTTGGAATTTTGAAGGCCAACAATAATTCTGCCATGCCAACTTAACTGGACATAAAATATAACAAGATATAATATCAATGTATTCTACTGTGGATGAAAAAAGAATAAGTGCAACTGTAATCCCACAAATTAAAATGTAATGGTTTCATAGATGTGGCCACAGAGCTGGTTGTTCTTCCATGGCCCATGCGTTTTATGTCTGTTTCATTCCGGTAACTCTCCCAAAGAACTTAATCAATGTGGAGTATCTTTACCTACAATCATATAAATATTATAAATTTCATAAACTTATCAAAGTCATTTTTTTCCATTACTTGCATTTAACAATTTCAATCTGAGTTTGATGACCTTCATCAACTTGCCAGTGAGTGAGTGAGTGAGTATGGTTCTACGCTGTTTTAGCAATATTCCAGCAACATCATAGCAGGGGACACCAGAAATGGGCTTCACACATTGTACCCATGTGGGGAATTGAACCCGGGCCTTTGGTGTAACGAGCGAACGCTTTAACCACTAGGCTACCCTACCACCCCTCATCAGGTTACCATCACTGTGGGTGAGTGAGTGAGATTTACAGCTCCTTTTATGTGCAGTGAAACTCAAAGCACTTCATGATCAGATAACAACACAATGGATTTCTAACAACTATAAAAGTATTACCCTCAACAATTGCTCGGGACAATTATACAATAATAATTCAAGTATTACACATCAATAACAATACATAGTAATATATAAGAGTAAAATATTTCCTTTAAAATAAACATTAAAATCTGTCACCAGTTGGACATTTGACAATATATACACAGAATATAACACGCATAACTGGAATCCAATAGAGATATCAAAAAGAATCTGAGATCAAACCTGAAAGGAACAAAGGGAGGTAACTTTGTATCTCCCTGTTAAATGCAATTCAAAATTTCAACAAAAGTAGAGGTTACATATTCATATTAAATCTTCATAAATTTATTCCAAACAACTCGATTAATGATCAAGTAATATAACTTCTGTTAACTAAGTATACAGATTAAATAGTCTTATAAAATATTATATTATGGAGATCTATGCTAAGCAACAGGGTTATTGCACTCAAATATAAATATACTACTCAACAAAAGTTAAGGATCACCTGGTTCTGGTCATATTGTTACAGTTTATAAGTCATCCCATGATATATACTATAGTAAGATGGAAGGATCAGGTTTTCCTTACTTCTCTTGAGTAGTATACATTGTGTTGCTAAACAGTTACTTCATGGGCAAGCACTTCTGGTCAATTTGATTAGAGGAAGAAAAGCACCTGTTGTAAAAATATTGCACAATTTTTTAATTTTGATGTGGTTTGATATTTGTTGTTGAATCTATTTCTGTAATCCATCAAAGATTGAAGGGTGAGGGGACTAAATATAATCATAATTATTATAAATATAATCAAACATAAATATTTGCTGATTGCGGCGTAAAAGAAAGTATGAGATGTCTTGGAGATATGTTTACTTTCAAATATACAGAGATTTAAATACTGGTATTTATGTCTAATAATTTATACCAAGCAATCTGCATCATGAAGCTAACAGTAAACATGTTACAACAGATCAATAGATTGTTTGGGATACTTCATTAGTCAATGCAGGGCTCGATTTTAGGACAGGAAACATACTTGCACCTGGTGCAACCTCAGGCAATAACCTTATTGCACCAGACAAAAACAGGCTGCTAATGATTTACTTACATGTTATCCTTGGGTTTTGATATTAAAGGCACAATGTCACACCACGCTTCTCTAAAAATACATAATGCATTTCTCTCAATAATGCTAACTATCAGCCCTCAGGGAAGCTACCATATAATTTATTCCCAAAATAATTAAGTATTTAGATTACAATATTAAATAAAAAAGTTCAGATGAATAAATGCAACATTGCATTAAATCGACTCTCACGCCCTCTATCGGCCGGACATTATTTCAAGCGAACCCAATAGAGTTATGTCCCTTGGAGCACTCTTTATGAATATCCTATAACCAAACTTGGAAAATAAGTATTTTATTGTATCAATGGGAAGCTAAAGTGAGTACATATGCCACAATATATGTAATATAGGCCAAAATATTGTTGAAAATATGTGACATTATGCCTTAAATGATTTAGAACATCATTATAATAAAATTAGTCCATGTCTGATAAGATCCTCTTATCTTACTCTTAAAATTTCATGACATGAACAGTAACAGTCAATCGATCAATGTCTGTGTAGCCATCAGAGTCACTGCTCCAATACAGCTCCTCATCATTCTGTTTCCAAGATGAAGTCCGTCTTCTTTGAACAGCCAAATATTATCATGCACTGGGTGTAAGTTGCTAAAATATGAATTTTGCACTTTCAGGTTGCACCAGTGCAAGTCCTAAATGCTTAGATCGAGCCGTGCGTTGATATTGCTGTCACTTCTAGACATGGAAACATAAGTGACAACCCATTCCCCCCACCCTTCCCCCAAACCCCTACCACACCACTGGTGGATTAATGATCTTCGTTAGAACAAAACCAGTGTCTTGTTTTACCAACTCTCACGGTGAATATGCCAAATGACAAGAGCAAATCAAAATATATGTGTGTCATGGTTCTTTTTTTATGTTAATTTTTAAACATTTAACATAATGAATAATAAAAAAGGCACATTTTCAGTCAACACACATTTTACCAATACCTTTGGATACCACAATAAAGCCCTTGTAAATATCCAAAACAAGCTTTTGACTGACTGACTGACTGAGTTTGGTTTTAAGCCGCTTTTAGCAATATTCCAGCAACATCACGGCGGGGGACACCAGAAATGGGCTTCACACATTGTGCCCATGTGGGGATTCGAACCCTGGTCTTCGGCGTGACGAGCCAACGCTTTAACCATTAGGCTACCCCACCGCCCCTCAAGCTTTTGAAGTGAGTTGGGTTTTACTCATGCTCATAGCAACATTCCATATCATCGCTGGATGATTTTACAAAATATCTGGATAAAATATTCCCATGAAAATGCATATTGCTTCCAGCTCCACTAAGTAAATCTGTAAATAGTCTGATTGTATGATTGATATATTTGATTATATTGCACAGAACAATGTTTCTATCATTCAAAAAAACAACAATTGATATCTACACAACCAGTTACTATGACGATACACAGAACAGCTCATAAACAAGTATTAACAATCAGATCAGATACTGCACTGAAAGTATTCAACAGTTAAAAACAATCATGGCAGGAATATTATCATTTTAAGAGAATTAAAACATCCATTTTATCAACACAGAAGTTCAAAGTAAAATACATCCTTGACTAGCCAGGGTAAAATAGTATCCATTACAATAAAACATGTCTGGACCAATTCGTCACACTAGTTTTGATTGCAGATCTGCTTTGAATGCTACAATGTCAAAAAGAGCAGTCCATTAAATTTCATCTTTGCAATCACAAATACATTCTTGTCTACCCCGTGTAAAATGTTTCATTCTAATACAAAACATTTTTGGAACAAGTCATCACCACAGTTTTGATATGAGATCTGGTTTGGCTGGCACAATGCCAAAAATATATGAATCTGTTCTTTCATGATTGAGAAAGTGTATATCAGTATTTCAAACCCAACATCTCACGGGTTCATTTATCGTGTATCTTATATAATAAAAAACAAGAAGAGGATTACATCAGTAAGAGAATCTCCTTCTGTGACAAGACAGTGAGCGAGTGAGTGAGTTTTATGCCGCACTCAGCAATATTCCAGCTATATGGCGGCGATCTGTAAATAATCGAGTCTAGACCAGACAATCCAGTGATCAACAGCATGAGCATCGATCTACACAATTGGGATACGATGACATGTGTCAAGCAAGTCAGCGAGCCTGACCACCCAACCCGTTAGTCACCTCTTACAACAAGCATAGGTTACTGAAGATCAATTCTAACCTGGATCTTCACGGGTCTGTGACAAGACAGACTCATTTTCATTGGTTGGTGATTTCAAGCTCAATAGTGAGAAATTCTTTGAGAAGTCTCCGCCTTGAAGATCAGGGTTATGAAAGTTTTTCAGCAAGCCATGATTGTCGTAAGGGGTGACTTACAAGACTCACTGGCGCAGTTATTGCGTCCCAGTTACGTAGATCATTCTTAGGATGTCAATCACTGGATTGTCTGGTCCAGAATTTGTGATTCACAGATCACCATCATGCATGTAATATTGGGTAGTGAAGCATGAAACAACACACAAATCTTTACCTAGTGAGTGAATGAATGAGCTTTTAGCTTTTAGCAATATTCCAGCAATATCACGGCAGGGGGCACCAGAAATGGGCTTCACACATTGTACCCATGTGGGGAATCGAACCCGGGTCTTCAGTGGGAGAAGCAAATGCTAACCACTAGGCTACCCAACCGCCACCTTAACCCAGCGAGGAATAACACTGCTGTTGATTGAGAAGTCTAGACCAATAATTCTCTGGCTGAGGATGACTATAAATACAGACAATCTATGTGATGTATCTACGAAACGAGATAACAGAATTGATTTCTTCATAAAACCAAAGAAAAACACCAGTATATCGTATACACTGAAATACTTAGGTACTGCAAGCGGTAGAATTCAACAACCTGTATAAGTAGACACTACACTATGTACAAAACATGAAATAGAAACATAAAAGCCATCTCACCTAGAATCTGAATAATAAATTTCACATAAGTAGGTCAGGTCACGATGGCCTACACTGAGTAATTGTTGATTAAATTATTATATGTTTATAAATGTGTGTAAATAATAAAATATATTTGTACAAAAGGGAAAATATACTAGTACCTGTCAGCAAGGGTTTCTTCAAATACTTGCAAAATTTGTCAAAATTGCATAAAAACATCAATAAACACATCGTGAACAGAAATATATTTTGTTACGTATTTACTTTAAAAAAGTCAAAATGATTTGAAAACTAATTTAAATTCATTTGGGATCATTTTAAAAATCTTCAATAGAAGATTAGTATAGTAGAATCAGCATTACAGGACACTGTTTTTTTAAAACACTTCACTTAAAAAAACTCTTTAAGTGAAGAATTAGGAAGCAAAAACTCCCTCACATGACAAAGTTTTAAACTGAATCAAAGATTAACAAAAACTGTTTCCTCATAAAAAAAATAACATGGCCTTGCACTCTCTATCCATAGAACTCTCTCCGTTGTTCAACATGTCCTTGAACTCTCTCCGTTGTTCAACATGTCCTTGAACGTAGGTTTAGATTTGCAGAATCATCCTAACTTGAACCGTTTCCCATCTGAATCAAGGGTGGACCAAAACAGACTACGAGATAATATCATTTCAGCTTCAACTATCAGACTTGCGAGATCAATAATCAGATCTTTATAAATATTGCACAAACACTGGCTCAGTCTATCACTGAAAACAATGAATAAAACATGACTGTTCAACAACTGCTTCCAGTACTCACTGATTTCACATAGAAATTCACATCAAGTCACAGGAATGTTCATCTAAACAAGCGACATCAGATCAACAATAACAAACAGTGTTCAGGAAAACAGTTTCCTGATGAATCATCATACAACACTCTTCAAGACTTCAGAATCATCTGCAAGAAAACGCTTCTCTCCAAATTTGACAGGAACCAGAGAGAAATATGTAAACATTAAAATATGTTGAAAATTTCATCCAAAATAAATCTATTTTCAAATAGTGCAACTCGAAGAAAAGGTTGATTTCTTCTGAATTTCTAAGTTTACAAAACAATGTAGTTGCTTAGCAACTAACGTTTGGAGGGATTGTTCTGCAAAGCACTATAAAATATTCAACATTGTCGAAACACTAAGGCTGGTGTTAATTAATCAGCAGACTGTCTCGTATACACTGAGGAGAAAGCCATCTTATATTCTCCAATTGAAACACATTACTCAGAATGGACACCAACACACAGGACGACTCGAATTACATGGCTTTCAAGAGTGCTGGACTTTTATGGTATTCATCTCACGATGAATTCATACTTGCTGAGTACTGATTTGAAAAAACACAGGAGGAACATTGGACGGTCTAGATATCAAAACAGCTTGAGGAGCACGACAAGTTACACTTCAAACTTAAAACAGAACAATCATTTTGTTGATAAGCCTACGCTTAATTCCAAACATTTACAAAAAATGTAAAATGTATTGTTTGAATAAATCATTTTTTTGTTAAATTCTATTTATTTTTAATGACAAAACTTTCACTTTGACATATTTTAGACATACCTCAAGTCATGCTATCTATAAAAATATATTGATTTCTGCACATGGCTATTTATAACCTCTGACAGAAGATGTGAAACTTGATGTGGGTTTATTTCAGGCAAGGTCAGTACTTCCCAGGTTTGTATGTAGTAAATTCCTCCCCCTGCTGTGAGTACATACAGCCCCAGAGGACCAGTACGCGTGTGTGTGTCGGACAACAACTAGAGTGAGTACAGTATTACACCACCATTAACGATATTCCAGCATCGCTGCTCACCCTGGTACACATAGAGTCTAAGACAACCATATTGAGCTGAGGCAAGATAATAGTATATGGATGAACAACTTCTCTATTACAGTGACAGCAACATTACGGTGTAGCAGAGGCCCAGATAAGCTGCGTATCCGGGTAAAATACGCATATAAAATGTCCAATTACGCATTGAAAAAATAATTGTTGCGTACCAATTACGCATTTAAAATGTTAGATACGCATCAAAAAGTTTAAAACAAATGCGTACGGAATATATTTATAAAAATCGCTTGCGTAATGAAAAAGACACGATTGCTATCAAGTTGTACTGTTAGTATAGGACAAGTGTTGTACTGTCAGTATAGGATGAGTGATTTTTTATGAAATCATTTCCATTATATTTAAGTTGGTTTTGATTAGGTATGACATAAGGCAGAACATACCTGCTTAGTAAACTTACTCAATGACATATACTTAGGTGAGTAAAATGACTGAAATACGCACATATTTGAAAGCAGTGGGTAACGGAAAATGAAATACCCACTCAACATTCATAATACCCACTCCAAAAAAAAATACAGTGGGTACAGTACCCACATGAGCTAAATCTTATCTGGAGCTCTGGTGTAGGTCCCAACACCATTATTAAGCAAGTATTATCACTTGCTTGATAACAGTGTTAGAACCGACATTGAAACATCCCTCTAACTGTAATGGAGTGAGTAAGTTTAGTTTTACGCTCTTTTAGCAATATTCCTGCAATATTATGGCGGGGGACACCAGAAATGGACTTCACATATTGTATCCATGCCGGGAATCGAACCCGGGTCTTTGGAGTGACCAGCAGACACTTATACCACTAGGCTACCAAACCGCTCCCACTGTAATAAAGAAGTTGTCAATCCATATATTCAGGGCTCCAGATAATTTTTCAAAATCAGGAGTACGTACTCCTTATTTTTTTCAATATATGAGTACTGGAAAACAATAAGAGTACATTTAGAGTACTGAATGGAATTTAATGGTGTATCATTAAACTTGTGCTTCGTTTCATATATGCATGACAGCATTGCTACTCTGGTGTAAACGGTCAATAAACAATTAAACAATACTTTTTCAGATAAATATGTCTGGAAATGATTCTAAGACTGTACACAATTGCTGTGGTGCGTATCTGCTACGTTTTCTAAATTATTTCCTACCGTACTGTGTATATTTTTTATCCGTTCATACGCCGATACGGCCCTTATCTGTAGCCCTGATATATTGTTATCCTTCCTTAGAGCTCCAACTTCTAAATGCCTCTCAAACAAGTCATATTAAGCTGCTTATTGAAGCAATTAACAATAGTATACAAACATAACATCTGAGTACCGTGAAATTATGATACTATATCCTACACTTTAACAGTGGCCATTAAGGACCCAATTCACAATACAGAAATAAATTGAAAATTCGAAGGTGTGGAAGTTTGTATCAAAACTATTTATATTTTTCTTATGAAGCCATATTTTGCAATAAACCAGGAATTATTGTAGAACTTTAAACCATGTCTTTGTTGAGGACAAATCAAGAAACTTATTTTGACCAAATTTAGATTTGTGTTATTGTCCATATTTACTTGATTTGGTGGGTTTTAATGATGAATTCAATACAAAACTGTAAGTCAGTCATATAAACACTGCTTAGTGCAGTATTGCAGTTATATCATGCTGTGTCAGTCAATGGGTGGGGAAGTGACCACTTGGGTGCAACCCATGAACATTGATAGTTACGGCGCTGACAAGCGTAAAAAACAAAATCAGGCCCACCAGGATTCCTGACCAACAACCATCAAACGATAATTATGAATGTTAATAATTCTATAAATATCAACTAAATTACATTATTGTCATAAATCTTAAATTTTGGCTGCATTTTGACAAAACTAATTTTCAGAATTTTTGACAGAAGTCCTTTTCACTTTGACCTACTCATACTTAGTTGTCAAGAAAACACTTAGTATGACAGCCAATCAACATCAATGTCTTCAGCTTGCAATGGTGGGAAAATCCTCACTTCTAGACTAACGCTTAATCTCTGAGTATATATAATTTTGATAGTAACATATAAACCCATTTAAATTGAAAAAAAAAAGAGTCCAAGTGAGATGAGAGATTCAGAACCTGGGGAAATCTAGACTTGCTTCATTTAGGGCTTTAGCGTTGCAGGGAGGGCTAGGCAGTGAGACAAACTATCACTTTTTCGTCAGTGCTACCTCGATTAGTTTCTGTGACTGCAGCCAAAATACAGGATTTATGGCAATGATGTCTTAGAGGATTCATAAGAATTATACGTTTTCGTGTGCCGTAGGGCCCAGCATGGCCCAGCACAAATTGGAAATTGAAAATTGGAATTGGAATTTTAACCTATCAAGTTAACAAAATGTCACTAGCCTTGTCATCCTTCACAAGCCTTGAAAACAATTCTTAAATGGAAATTAAGGTGTTTTTCTCAATAAAATCATGTTTTAAAATATGAAATTATCTCAGGATAATTGAATGAAATGAGTAATGATCAATCGTAATTTAAGTAATTCGACTAAATTTCGTTAAATTTTAGTAATTATCTATAGAATTTTTACCAATTTTAATCAGTTGAAGTTTGTCAATATTCTGATCATAAAGACATACCACTAACAAAGAAATCATTCACAAAACGAAGAACTAGCTTTCTTGGAGCATCATGGCAGTGGGAATAACAAGGGAGATTACTGGATGATCTTCATCTGATCAAAAACTTCAAAAAGAGTTACCTGCCCTTGCTGTGTACAAACCCAGGTAACCGGAGCAGGATAGAAAATGACATGAAAATAATCTGTATAAATCTATGTTCACTTCAACTTACTATGGAAATATAAAATATATATCACAGATAGGACAAGAAGAACCGAACCAATGGCATCATCTCGCGTTTCTTTATGTCCGATCGATCCTTGATGAGGTATCCCAGATAGAACCAATCCCCGCTGCTGTGGGTCGTGTACGTTTGAATGTCCACATGAGGCTTGAAATTAAACGATGGCAAGTACATTGAGTAGATAACCTGCTGGTCAGTGTTCATTAACGATCGGTCAAGCAGCATTCGGACCGCCTTCATGTAGTCTTTGGTATACATATACAGAACCTCTGGCCTACCGAGAAACATTGCACCAGACACCCACACCAAATTCTGCAATATGACCTCTACAGGGGTCAAGGTCGCATCGAAATCATGGACTTCGCTGTAGGCAACTTTGTTTTCATCCCAAAATGGTGGTGTTTGGATGTGGAATTCGGTGCCTTCATCAGCAATGTCACGAAATAAGCCTATATCTAACCAGCTGAGATATTTTGTTTTGTAGAGCTGTTCTCGAATGACCTTGTTCACCAACTCAAACTTTGCATGCATGACACAGGAATAGTTCTCATTGACTGTATTTGGGTGATATTTTGGGTAGTGTTGCTGGCGATAGATGTCTCTAATTTCCCCGGCAAGGGAAAATGACCACAGTTTTCTTCTTTCAAGGAGGATTATTTTGGACTGGTTTGATGAAAAGTTTTGTCGGAGTTTCACAAAATGGTTGTAAACATCCTGGCTGTCTGTGAAAACAACGAGAGGGTTGTTGAGACGGGCAAATACCTGCATCCACTGAGTGTAAAGGCGAGGAGTGTAGCTGTACCCTATGCCTTTAGTGAATTTGCCCAGGTTGAAGTATGCTGTGATGATGGTGACGTCATCTGACAGGTGCCCCTTCATCACGTGACTGTGGACATCCTCCAGTCCGACATCTCCACGCCACATAAATTCTGACATCTACAAGACAGATATATGAAGACTACATCATCTCTGTAACAGATGTTTCCGTATAACATCCGTACAACTATAGTAAAACTAATAACTCAAGGGACGATTAATATTAGTCTGTCATAACTATAGTTCATTATACACATTTTCACAAAACTAACAACCATTGGTTGTTTTGGTTGGTTGGTTTGTTGTTTAACACCGCACTCAGCAATATTCCACTTATATGGCGTCGATCTGTAAATAACAGTATCTGGACCACACAATCCAGTGATCAACAGCATGAGCATCGTCTACACAATTGAGATACGATGACATGTGCCAACCCAGTCAGCGAGCCTACCACCTGATCCCGTTAGTCGCCTTTTAAGACAAGCATCGGTTGGTGAAGATCAGTTCTAACCCGGATCTTCACGGGTCAAACTAACAAGGTGAGGTGAGGTTAAATTGGGTTTAAAGTCGTGCTTGAGAATATTTCGCTCATATGACGACGTGCATGCGTGTGTACATGTGTATGTGCGGCTGCTTGTACTAGACTGAAGCTGATTTTATAGTGCTAGTCCACTGAGATACCATGCCGCAGTGAAGCATGAATACCCCACTCAGACACATTATACTGACTTCGAGCCGACCAGTCCTTGTACCCATTAATGCCGAGCGCCAGGCAGGGACCAACAAGTACCATATTTTAACGTCTTTTGGTATGACGCGGTCGGGGATCGAACCCGCGACCTTCCGCTCTCCGGGCAGACGCTCTAACCACTACACCACGGAGGCAGTCTCAAACTTACAAGGAAGTACCTGGGACCAACACAAAGAATGTGTTACAAGTGTGTTCCTTATGAACAGTCCTCCTGAGAGGGTACGTAAGTCCCAAAACATTCAAAGTAAATTTAAACCTACTACTCTTTTAATCGTAGAATATATGTTCGTTTAATTTATGGCTAGATTATCTAACATTGCTAATAGCTGAGGGGATGGTGTAAATCCAGCTAGGGTCCATGCAGGAAGCAAATGTACTATAAGTCCCCATGGTCCCCAGTATGGTGATCTACCTTCAGTTGTTGGCAATCTATAGCCCATTTATACATTGTATTGTCTTCTTTAATTGGAATTTTTTAGCTTTGTTCGCTAGTTTTATATTGATATCTGTGATTATCTAGTATTTTTACTGTCCTTTCGTCGGCAGGTTTTTATAATATCTATATATATTCTATTTCAATGTCAAATGTTCTCGTCACGATATGGCTGAAATATTGCCGATGTGACGTTAAATATTAACTCACTCACTCACTCCTTATGAACATAGTTTACTATAGCATGTCACCAACACAAAACCTATGAAGACTAAGTTACAACATGGCACAAAGCTGACTCACCGGTGTGGGGCGAGCATCCCAGGAACTCGAGTTGAGGCGGAGGTAGGCGACTGAAAACAGAACCAGCATCATCAAGAGATAGCACACACCCCAGACTTTTGTCAGAAGAGGATTCATTATGAAGGAGTATCTGTAACAACCTTAAAATACAGCCTTAGACAAGGAATTTTTTGTGCTGAATCATGAAAATGACTATGACAAATCTTGAAGAGCATGTCATAATTCACCCTGCAGAAGAAGAGTGTCAATCACAAAACCTACAGATCATGGCCTAGATTTTCGAAGCTCTCTTATCGCTAAGATAGTCGTAAGTTAATGTTAATGTATGGCACTTACGACTGTCTTAGCGATAAGAGAGCTTCGAAATTCTAGGCCCATGTGTGTGAAGCCACCATGATATTGCTGGAATACTGCTTAAAAGGGCAAAAACCTTACTCACTCACAACAGATCAAGCTCATGAATGGGTGTGATTTTACTTAAATTATTGCAAAGTTCTTTTATTGTTCACTTCACAACATGCCTGGATAACAGCCCTAAGATACAGCCTTAGACAAATAGACCCCCATCAATAAATGTTACCGCTCTTTGCTGATAACAGTCCTAAAATACAGCCTTAGACAAATTGACTTCCATCAATAAATGTTACCGCTCTTTGCTGATAACAGCCCTAAGATACAGCCTTAGACAAATAGACTCCCAGCAATAAATGTTACCGCTCTTTGCTGATAACAGCCCTAAGATACAGCCTTAGACAAATAGACCCCCAGCAATAAATGTTACCACTCTTTGCTGATAACAGCCCTAAAATACAGCCTTAGACAAATAGACCCCCAGCAATAAATGTTACCGCTCTTTGCTGATAACAGCCCTAAAATACAGCCTTAGACAAAAAGACCCCCATCAATAAATGTTACTGCTCTTTGCTGATAACAGCCCTTAGTTACAGCCTTAGACAAATAGACCCCCAGCAATAAATGTTACCACTCTTTGCTAATAAAATGAGGGCCTTGTAAAGTATTGGAATGGTGTAGTGTACGTTACATAATTACTTCAGAGGCTGGAATGTATCAGTGGTCATGTGGGCAGTGGTCATGTGGACAGGTGTCATGTGGACAGTGGTCATGTGGACAGGTGTCATGTGGACAGTGGTCATGTAGACAGTGGTCATGTGGACAGGTGTCATGTAGACAGTGGTCATGTGGACAGGTATCATGTAGACAGTGGTTGTGTGGACAGGTGTTATGTAGACAGTGGTCATGTGGACAGGTGTCATGTGGACAGTGGTCATGTGGACAGGTGTCATGTGGACAGTGGTCATGTGGACAGGTGTCATGTAGACAGTGGTTGTGTGGACAGGTGTCATGTGGACAGGTGTCATGTGGACAGGTGTCATGTGGACAGGTGTCATGTGGACAGTGGTCATGTGGACAGGTGTCATGTGGACAGTGATCATGTGGACAGGTGTCATGTGGTCATTTCCCGGTTTTACTTTTTGTAAGTAAGACCTCTTACCAGGTTTTACTTTTTCCTAACTCTATATTAACATCAACATTCAAATTCAGATGATATGTTAGTGTTTGAAATCAATTGAAAAATATCGTCAAAGATCAACTTATATGTGCAAATTTTTTCCCTAGCAGGATTGGAACCTTATATTTCAGGGTCCCGATCCACAAAACGTTCGTAACGTTACGACGCATCGTAACTCTATACTTTATCATAGACTTACGAATGGCATGGTGCTACGAACGTTTTGTGGATCGGGCGCCAGATTCATAAGCAGACACTCTACCTCACAGCCACCTGGCCGACAAAGAACGAGGGTTGAATTATCTATTTATAGTTAGGCCTACTGTCATTCAATTGATTTGATTAGCGCTTCTGTTACTGTTATGTAGCTTCATTACATGATCATCTAATTATCCATCATTGACGGTTTATACGTATAATAAAGCACTCCTCCTTGGTTATGGTTGGGAAAGTAAGCCCTCGACCATTGGCTACTTCTCGGTCTTACTTCTCCCCACCCTCCGGTCTCGGGTCTTACTTTTCTAACCATAACCTCGGAGTCGTGCTTTATCCTACACATTCTCCACATCTGTGCATTGTGCAAAACCCTGGAAGGTACGTTGTATTTAGGTAGTCTTGGCCAGCTACCTATAGTGCTTATTGCTATGACATGATATTTACCATCCCAAAACATCCAAGCATGATACCAGTGCATGAAATAAGCCCAAACCCCATCCAGACATCAGGGCTGGCAACTTCAAAATGTTACCAGTCCAAAATGGATTTAACCAGACCAGACACCAAGATATGACTCAGATGTATATAACATCTCAGTTTTTTACCAGACCATCGGGCTGGCAAGCTGTAAAACTAGACCATCTGAAATCTAACCCGTCTCGGTCGGTCGGACAGGCCTTATTTCATACACTGATGATACCCACTTTATTATATTGTCATTCATAAAATCTCATTGAAAAACCTGTTCTTATTTTCCACAGTATCTGAACATTGCATTCTGAGGAATGTGCACAATAATATATATTACATCATTCAGTTATTGATTTGTCAGTCACAACAATCAATACAGTTCTGACTGACACCTGTTTCTTCATGCCGTAACATGGAAGCAAAACAACAACTGCCTTCAAATATTGATTCCACTTGCCTATCATGGCAATCAGTCGGTCTGCTCACTAACATAGCAGATCTTCATCATGGAGGACCTACATCTATTCTTGTGTAACCTGGGAGGCTTCATGTTTGCTCAGTCTGCCTGCCCTTGTCACAATGTAATAAGGTGCAGAAAGAAACAATATTTTGCCTAAATAAATCTCTTTTAAATAAAGGAAGAGGGGAAATGGCAGAGGTTTTGACATGTTAAATTGTTAAAAAAGATGCCAAACTTGTAAAATGCAGAGAAACCTACCCAATAAATACTCATGGAAACAAATAAGGGAACATATGAAGGCACAGAAATTATTTAATTATATACTGAGGGAAACAAATAACGGTACATATGAAAGCACAAGTGTTCCTTTATTCTTTTCCAGGTTTCTTCACCAGCTTTGTATCTCACTGTGGGTGAGGATCTTAGAATACGTAGAGGAACACTGCGATGAAGTGGTGTTCCTTTATTTGTTACCCTCAATATATGATTAAATCATTTCTGTGTTTTTCTTTCAAACAAACTCTTTTTGTCAACATTGAAGTAATTTAATTTTAAGGTATGGGGGTTACGTCACAAATAAAAGATAAAAGTTTTCTGCTCACTGCTGCTGCTCAGTAAGGTTTGACGCAGCTTTTAGCAATATTCCAGCAATATCACAGCGGGGGACACCAGAAATGGGCTTCATACATTGTACCCATGTGGGGAATCAAACCCAGGTCTTCAGCGTGACGAGCAAACGCTTTAACCTCTAGACTACCCTACCGCCCAAAGATCAATGTTGACACTGATCATCAATAATCCAAGGTTGTTAAATGAGGCGACCAACTGGATCAGCTGTTGAGGCTTGCTGATAGATGGATGCATGTCGTCATATTGCAATTACGTCAATCAGTGTCATTTGCTAAACTGATTGATCAATGCTTGATATATATTTACTGTCATATAGTTGGAATGTGGCTGGGTGCAAACAAACAAACAACAGCCCAAAGTGAATAAAGTTTGACTTACAAAACAGGACATAGGAAGTGTAGAGGATGCCCACGAAAAGCACAAGTCCCTTCACGTAGTGCTGCCATTCCTTCAGCCAGTCCCCTCGGGCCCCGAACATCATCAACAGCTGAAACCACAACATCATCAACAGCTGAAACAACATCATCAACAGCTGAAACAACATCAGGCCCCCCAAAATAAATGTTGTGGTTCCGATTTCCTACATTTCAGAACTAGGGTAGGTAGGTAGGGGTTGTTGTTTTTGCAAAATATTTTTACATTACTCATGTGTCAGAAAATAAATTTAATTTATAATGTGGTGAGTAAAATTGTTAGGCTCAGCAGGAATATTTAGGGTCGGTCGGGAAATCGGAACCACAAGCTTTTTTTTTTTAGGCCTTATCAATGGCTGAGGCCAAAACATCATCAATGACTGAAACAACATCATCAACGGCTGAAATAACATCATCAATGACTGAAACAACATCATCAACAGCTGAAACCACAACATCATCAACAGCTGAAACCACATCATCAATGGCTGAAACCACAACATCATCAACAGCTGAAACAAAACATCATCAATGACTGAAACCACATCATCAATGGCTGAAACCAAAACATCATCAATGACTGAAACCACATCATCAACGGCTGAAACCAAAACATCATCAATGACTGAAACCACATCATCAACGGCTGAAACCAAAACATCATCAATGACTGAAACCACATCATCAACAGCTGAAACCACATCATCAATGGCTGAAACCAACACATCATCAATGACTGAAACCACATCATCAACATATGAAACCAAACATCATCATCAATGGCTGAAACCACATCATCAATGGAAACAACATCATCATGGATCATGTAATGTTGACTGAAAAGGAAGAGTCACATATAACCTGAAAAAGGGATAAGGGTGGTTATGCCATTGGAAGAAATGACTAAATGTGAAATAATACCACAAAAGGCATCAGTGGCTGAAACCCAAAATGGCATCATTTTCGGATCCAGTCTTGAGGAACCACATCATCAACAGCTGAAACTGAAAACATGTCCCCATTAACTGAGATGATGTTTATAACTGAAACCCCCTAAAATCAATGCAAACCACAACATCTGAGACAGAAATAATTTATAGCAAACCACATCATCAACAGCTGAAACCACATCATCAATGGCTTGAAACCAACACATCATCAATGTTGAAAACCACATCATCATAACTCTGTAAAAAGAAAACAACATCAATCATTTCAATGACTGAAACCACGACATCAACAGCTGAAACCCCAATTTTACACCATATGCACAAGCAAGGCCATAACTCTGTAAAACGATCAATTTAACACCAATTTTAGAATTAATTTTAAAATTTGACCAGTTACATCAGTGTGTAAAATATTAGTGCTCCAAATTAAATCGTTTTGATTTGTCTCCATTGTCCCCATGTGCAGACAACAAACTCTGTTCCAATATCCCCTGCCCCATCTGGGGTAGCCTAGTGGTGAAAGTGTTGGCTCATCACGTCGAAGGTCCAGGTTCGATTCCCTATATGGGTACAATGTGAGAAGCCCATTGTTTAAGCAACGTAAAACTAAACTTACTCACTCACTCCTTTCATGTGTTTCTCAACGCCAACCACAATCACCAACAGAGGGTAGGTGGAAGAGTTAGTGAGTGAGTGTATATGGTTTTATGCCGCTTTTAGCAATATTCCAGCAATATAACGGCATGGGACACCAGAAATGGGCTTCACACATTGTACCCATGTGGGGATTCAAACCCGGGTCTATAATCACAGAACCAAAAATGGGTGGCACGTACAACTCCCTATATAAGACAGCGGAGAAGCAGCCTTCTGATGGAAATATAGAGAAATATAAGGCTGTCGGCGACAATTATAATGAACGATGAGACATTCTAAATCAGAAATACTTCTTTCAGAGACCATATACCTGGTAATTATCCCAGCCAGTGCATTTCATATCAGAACTGTTAATACTTACATTTAAGTGAGTGAGTGAGTTTTACGCCGTTTTAGGAATCGAACCCGGGTCTTGCCGCTTTAAGCAATATTCCTGCAATATCACAGCTGTTGCATCCTCTGCCACTGACAGTGACAGACACTGACAATTTTTATTCACGTTTTATTCGAGACCATGGCCAATATGACGGTATACTGTTACAAGTGTGTTGATGCTGGGCTTATATTACAGGTACCTTATCAGTGTTGTCACATGATTACATTTTAGGTGTTACCGATGGTATTGATATTTGTATGTGTATTCATCTGCATAATTTAATGGGCGGTCATATAAATTATCATGAAATGACATTCACCACAGTCGAAAATGGATCTTGGAATTTATCTACACCTCCATAGATGATGATATTCAGCATATACAACTGCAAATATCAGCAAAAAGTTCAAAATTGGAATTATTAATTTACAAAATTATGCCATAATAGTTATTACTTAGACTGCCCGATATTACTGGTATACTGGTTAATCACAATACACCTTTAAAACGAACAAATATTGCAATAATTTTTTTCAGAAACGGTATAGTGGGCATTATAAATATATGAAGTTTTGTGATTATCTCTATGGTTTAAGTTAAAATTTACAAAAACTTTCATTCACATTTAGTTTTCCATTGTAATTAACTGACAAAACAGCACACTTTACATACAATAAATTTTATCAAATAATTTACAGTCCCTAAGTCAAATCTAAATTCACCATTCCTGTTAGCTCAACCATAACATCTATTTTTAGCGTTTTACTATGTAGTGAGTGTTTAGTTTTACGCGGCACTCAGCAATATTCCAGATATATGGCGGCAGTCTGTAAATAATCAAGTCTGGACCAGACAATCCAGTGATCAACAGCCTGAGCATCGATCTGCGCAATTAGTAACCGATGACATATGTCAACCAAACCAGCGAGCTTGACCACCCGATCCCGTTAGTCGCCTCTTAAGACAAGCATGGGTTGCTGAAGGCCAATATTCTAACCAGGACCTTCACAGGTTTTTTACTATGTAGTTCCCAATCTGTTCGGAATACGGGTACCAGAATACAATTTATTTGTCAATACACAGCCCTAGTTATTACTTATGTGTTGTGGCTTTGTAGAAGTGATTTGTTTTTCACTGAATAAAAGGACTGATATAGAAGATAAAGTTCCAGTCTTTAATTTTACATAAACGGATTGAATTTTATCCTAAAACAACTTTTAATTAAAGAAAAAAATACACCCAACCTTTGAATGAAATAACTTTTGTTCTCCCTATTTACCTCCATGGTCCCTAGTATGGTGATCTTCCTTCAGTTGTTGGCGATCAATAGCCCATTTTTACATTGTATCATCCAAAAATAGTTTTCTACTTTTAAATATATATGCCAGCTAGTTTTAACTCATTTTGTGATAATCTAGTGGTTTTACTGTCCTTCGTTGATAGCGTTTTATATATTATATGCATTTATTATGAATTTATGACTAGTTTTAGTCATGTGACTATAAATCTTAACTCATTCACTCACCCTATTTACCTTCACTTAGCTTAACTCCTGGATAAGTCCCTGTGATGAAAAGAATTCTTGTTGCTACACATATATTCCAAGCAGCACATTTAATTTCATATGGTCTTCCTCACGGGTGAAAAACATACATCTCCATCAACAAACATCCTTGAAAGTCGCAGCCAATGCATCCAGTCATGAAAACATGAAATTGTTTTTGCTACACGCTGGACATCCAAAAACAGAAAGGTATGTGGTATGTGGAAGTATGTAGAATGAGGAAGTAGACAGAATGTGGAAGTACATGCCACAGTGAAGAGGGGAAGGATCTTGTGTTCAATGAGACGCGAACCACTGTGAAGTGACAGTAAGCGTGAGCCTTGAAAGGGTCTGGATATAATAACTGACTGACTGACTGAGTTTGGTGTTACGCCGCTTTTAGCAATATTCCAGCAACATCACGGCAGGGTACACCAGAAATGGGCTTCACACATTGTACCCATGTGGGGATTCGAACCCGGGTCTTCGGCGTGATGAGCCAATGCTTTAACCATTAGGCTACCCCACCACCCCCTGGATATAATAACAATAATAGTGGTTTTGTATTACGCTTTTTCCATACTTGGATATTATGCTCAAAGCGCAGTGAGGATTGATAGACATAGACTGGCAGCAAGGCCCTGTCATTAGATCCCTTATTGCCAGGCCGTGACTGGGGTAAGATAGCCTTGCTCCAAGGCTGCACTGAGTGCATTTCCCACGGATGTATTGTAATTCTATCCCTTAAAGAGGCAAGTCTAGCACACCAGTTTGTTAGCGGGACAAAGTGTTCTTTTTATATATTTTTCAGAAATTATCATTTAAACAATTATTATTACCTTGTGTAAGTCTATGGGTAAAGCAACCCTCCCCTATCTCACTAGCTGTCTACAGAAATCTGTGTGAACTGAAATACTTATGCAATGTTATTTAGTTTATAAAAAATCTCTAGTGTTTGTCTAAGGGTTAGTTATATATTTAATTATACCATTCCTTAGTCTATTGCATCATTTGTTTGTGGTAGATGAGTGAGTGAGTGAGTGAGTGAGTTTAGTTTTACACAGCTTAAGCAATCTTCCAGCAATATCACTGCGGGGGACACCAGAAATGGGCTTCTCACATTATACCCATGTGGGGATTCAAACCCGGGTCTTCGGCGTGACGAGCCAACGCTTTAACCACTAGACTACCCCACTATTAGACTAACACTGACTCTTCTCGCATTAGACTAACACTTAGTCATTGAGTCTATATAATTTTGATAGAAACAAATAATTCCAATTAAACTGAAAAGGAGCCCCAGTTAATAACCCCCACCCCACCCTCCCCCACCCCCCCAGTTAATGTCACTTTCCACCCCACCCCACACACACACCTAAGATTTATGTACAAATTAAGTGCCACACCCACCCAAGATAGCGTCTGTTAATGAGAGTCAGTGTAAGTCTATATCTGTCGTGTTTCTATCAGATAATGGACAGTCGGACGCAGCTGTTGCTGACATGAGATACGAACAATAACAGCATTGTTGGACCACTCACTGCCATGTTTTACTGGAACATGTCCCGCCAAATTGCACTAGCCTTCTCCATATGGCCATAATGTCCTTGCTTATTTTAGCCGAGAGCTGCGATGATCGGCTATGGCTATTTACGATCTGTCTTGCAGCATAGATTGACTGGGAAAGTCCAATAAATTATGAAAGACAAAGTGAGTGATGAGCGATTGATTCCATCGATTTTATATCACGATACCTTTAGCAAAAGCAAATTGAGACATATTTCAATTAAGGACCGCAATTCAGTTTGTTTTCCCAATTTCCACACCTGATTTCCGAAAGAATTTTTACCTTACGGAGAAACTGAGATGTGATGATTAAGAGGACCGCTTCATCATATTAGGGGCATACAGTAGATGTGAATCTAACTAGTGATAAATGAAGGATCGCTGCAAACAGATTTAAATTATGGTCGGTGATTTTAAACATGAAATGCATAGACGAATGCACGAAAATAACACTTATTTACCATTTACATCCTCCAGCGCTCACAGCATCCCGGCTGGATGAGGTTCGTGTTTACACGGTTAAGCTTCTTTCCGAGATATGTGTGTCCTTCCTGCACGAAAGTGCTTCAGACTAAACATCAATGATGGAAAACAGAGACTCTCTGTGCCAAACCAGCTGAAACATGGCATCAAAATGGCTGTGTGGGAACCGACATCGCGCATCTGACTTTGCTTTAAGCATCTATGAAATATGTTTGTTTATCATCTGTACGGTTCCAGATATATGTTTTTTATTATGGAAATGGCGCAAAACACATTTTGCTTCCATAGTCTGTCTCACGGTGCCTGAACCATATTATCTCTCCTTCACCCCAGCACTGCTTGTGATGTAAACGGTCTAAGTGAAGCAAGTCTAGATTTGCCCTGGTTCAGTATCTTCCCTTGTCACTCTGGCTCCTTTTCAAATTAAATGGAGCTCTTTGTTTCTCTCAGAATTATATATTTACAGAGAGCGTTGGTCTAAATGTTTCCACCCTACGTCATTTATGACGTTATGTGTGATGACGTCACAGATGGTGATAACAATGTTATCTGTTAATAATTCCCAGATTTGTAACAATGTAACGATAAGCCTATCGATAATGATTATTATTACAGTGTAATATTTTACGGCAATAGTACACTAGTGTAATACCGCTAGACGTATGACACGATAATGAGTTACATTCACAATGCTACAGCTTGTTCAGCTTGACCTGATCAAGTGATTACTAACACATTACGTGACCCTGTCACAACTGGTTGGGTCTATTATTGTGAAGGGGTGCACCTTTGTCAGTTGATTGTCAACAGGTCGTCGTTTGACATCTCAGTGTCGAGAAATCGTCAGCAATGTCCTAACTTTCTTTAAACTTAAAAAGAAGCTACATATGGTTTAATGTTTCGGATTCGGGCTTTTTGAGAGGCAGCGAGCAGCAACATTAATAACATTCTCTGCTCCCCTATTTAATGAAGTTAACTCGACCTGCCGTTTGTGCCATTTGACCTCTAGGGTCATGCATATGTAGAGTAGCTCAGGTCAAGCTGAACGCTGCAATACCTCTATCACAATGGAATAAGACCTTGCTTGACTCGCGGAAAGCTGACAGTCGTCACACTGTAGGCAGTTTCTATCAGTTTATGTTGGAGAGTAATAAACAGAATACTAAACTCTCTTCCGTGAAATACCATTTTTATTAAACTCGTGAAAGATTTAGCATCAAACTCGCTTTCGCTCGTTTGATACCAAATCATTAACTCGTTTAATAAAAATGGTATTACACGGAAGGTCGTTTAGTATCCTCTATTTCTCTATATTCGTCGTTGAATATCCAGTGTCGGTAGATGCTGTGATATTAGTTATGCCTGGCATTGTTTAATCTGTATCGTTGTTCGTTATCATCACGCCCACAACTCATACAGTCACATTCCAGTGCCATTCGCTGCTTTTCCCGGGGGCTGTTGGGTAGCCTAGTGGTTAAAGCGTTCGCTCGCCACATCGGAAACCCGAGTTCGATTCCCCACATGGATACCATTGTGTAAAGCCCATTTCTGGTGCCACCCGTTGTGGTATTGCTAGAATATTAATGAAAGCGGAACATAACTATACTCACTGTTTGTTTTTCCCCTTTGATGTCATATTGTTATTTTGTAAATCACACCTAACCTTTATAAGCACCACTTGACTGCGTGTATCTCAACATGCAAGTATTATGGCGCGTTGGGCTAGCCTAGTGGTTAAAGCGTTCGTGCTTCACACCGAAGACCCGGGTTCGATTCCCCACATGGGTGCAGTATGTGAAGCCCATTTCTGGTGTCGACCGCCGAGATATTGGTGGAATGCAACGCTCATTCACTAAGGAACGCATACTCACGACTAACCTTATCAGATAGCAAGACTCGCTAACTTTGGTAATGATGTCACTGTGTTCTACGCACAGGGCCCCGTTCCTCAAAGCGATCGTAGCGCTAAGGTGATCGTAACTCCCATACTTTAACATAGACATACGACAGTCGTAGCGCTACGATCGCTTTGAGGAACGGGGCCCTGTGCGTAGAACCCAGGGCCTAGATTTTCGAAGCTCTCTTAGCGCTAAGATAGTCGTAAGTGCCATACATTAACATTAACTTACGACTATCTTAGCGGAAAGAGAGCTTCGAAAATCTAGGCCCAGGTCACAAATCAGTTGAAGTTAAGCAATGTTCGGGGCGGAGCGTGCTTGGATGGGTAACCGTGTTTGGCAGCTTGACTCCTGGAAGTTTCTGTCCTGTCCCACAACGAAGCACATGTGATACATGAGGTCTCACCTTAGGCAAGTGAGTTTGTTCAAGCAGAAAACGGGTACCCGATGGGATAAGTCATGTGACTATTAACTTTCTAGCACCACACAGGCAGCTTGGGTTATCCGGGGTAATAATAATTAGATTTGTGTTAGCGCTTTGAGCATGTGTCTTGTACATGGAGAAGGGGCATTATAAATTCACTATTATTGTTATATATTATTATGCCTGTCATCGCATCGCAGTTGAGTAGATTGATGCTCATGATATTAGTCACTAGATTGTCTGGTCCATACGCGCTTACAAAAAAAAAAAAGAAATCCCCGAATAGACGCAAATGTGAGAAACCAATGGTAGATGGTACGAGGCTGTGGAAAAATGGATGTTGAATGTCAAAAATGCTCAATGTTGAATATCAGTTGGAAAATAGCACAAGAATTCAAACACTTTGGTTTTGTTTACGAAGTTTGCTGAAAAATATGGCAAGTAGGTCAAAAAAATAAAACGGCATTAAAGATGATTATACATAATCTTAAAGTGTGATTTGGATTGGTAGGTACTAAAAATACAATACCGGGTATATCTTAGCTATTTTTGGATGATAATGGATATTGTAAATCTAAAGCAAGACCGCGACTTAGCATTGTTTTATTGTCAAGAGGATCTTCACCGGAGGCGATATAAATAAAATCCTTTCTGATTTTTCATTTCTTCTGAAATCCGTAAACATAAGCGAAATACCTACTGTCTTATACTATTGTGTTGCATGACATAATTAACGCATGCCCATTTTGTGGATGACGATTCGGCCCCTTGCCGAAGTGAGTGGGTAAGTTTACTTTTACGCGGCACTCAGCAATATTCCAGCTATATGGTGGCGGTCTATAAATAATCGAGTCTGGACCAGATAATTCAGTGATCAACAGCATGAGCATCGATCTGCGCAATTGGGAACCGATGACATGTGTCAACCAAGTCAGGGAGCCTTACCACCCGATCCCGTTAGTCGCCTCTTACGACAAGCGTGGGTTACTGAAGGCCAATATTCTAACCCGGACCTTCACGAAAGGTATGGCTACCTGAAGGGGGGAGTTAGGGTTGCATAATTTTAAGTTTGTATGAATTTTAATTTGGATATTTGTAGGGGGATGAACTATGGGATGGTTTGGTTGGTATTTGTTTTGTTTGTTTTTATGTTTTGTTTTTGTATTGTTGATAGCACTGTTTGGTTATGTGGGTTTATATGCGGCCTAAAAGACCACTTTTGATCAGAAATATGCCTTTAAGGCTTTGAACATTTGGGTCTTATTAAGTAGACTTACGAGTGTTAGCTGTGTGTTCGTTTCGAGTGAACTCTGGAGCACCGTTTTGTGTTGTTGGTATATAGTGTATGCAGTGCAGTTGGCATTCGGAACAAGCCGAAAAGCGAGGGTTACGGAAAAGGGCGAGTGGTGACGAATTTGCAGTTGAACCATTCGTCACCACTCGCCCATTTCCGTAATCCTAACTATTCGGCTCGTCCCGGAATAACACGAGTTGGTCACGAATGCAGTTTGACGTGCTCCTATGTTTCTGTTTGGTTGCAGTGCATTTTATGTAGATTGGAATTTAATTTTGTGTGATATGTTTGTAATTTGGTTATCGCCCTGTCAATATGTTTTTTATTTATGGTAGATTTGTAGCTTTTGGGGTGTTTTTTGAGTAGATGTTTTAGTTTAGAATTTGAATTTGGGTATTTACTTTGCCACTTTTGGAAGATCTTTTTTGTATTGTTTTGATTGGCTTTTCATTTCGTTGGACTGTAAATGCTCAAAATAGAGTACAGCCGCCACGAGCTCCAAACAGTGCTAGAGTGGGGCTGTGCCATTGTTTGAATGCGTTCGTTTGTAGTAAGGAGCTTGAAACAAAATGATGAAACGATCAATAAAAGGCCACTGATGCGTCGATTCATGTTTCGCGCCATCAATCTTACCACGTCGTGTAGCTGACGGAGATGAGGACTGGACAGATGCCCACCTTGGCTGAATTTCTTCAATCTAAACTATGAGACAATATGAACGGTGGATGCCCATCAAATGCCATTATTTGAAAATATTACCAGTGAGTGAGTGAGTTTAGTTTTACGCCGCATTCAGCAATATCCCAGCTATATGGCGGTGCTCTGTAAATAATCGAGTCTTGACCAGACAATCCAGTGATTTAATTTAATGGGCGTTCATATAAATTGAAAAGAAATGACATTCACCAATGACGAAAATGGATCTTGGAATTTATCTACACCTCAATAGACGATGATATTCAGCATATACAACTGCAAATATCAGCAAAAAGTTCAAAATTGGAATTATTAATTTACAAACTTATGCCATAATAGTTTTTACTAAGACTGCCTGATATCACTGGTATACTGGTTAATCGCAATACACCTTTAAAACGAAAAAATATTGCAATAATTTTTTTCAGAAACGGTATAGTGGGCATTATAAATATGTGAAGTTTTGTGATTATCTCTATGGTTTAAGTTAAATTTACAAAAACTTTCATTCACATTTAGTTTTCCATTGTAATTAATTGACAAAACAGCACACTTTACATACAATAAATTTTATCAAATAATTTACAGTCCCTTAGTCAAATCTAAATTCACCATTCCTGTTAGCGCAACCATAACATCTATTTTTAGCATTTTACTATGTAGTGAGTGAGTATCGTTTTACGCCGCACTCAGCAATATTCCAGCTATATGGCGGCAGTCTGTAAATAATCAAGTCTGGACCAGACAATCCAGTGATCAACAGCATGAGCATCGATCTGCGCAATTGGGAACCGATGACATGACATTGTGTCAACCAAGTCAGCGAGCCTGACCACCAGATCCCGTTAGTCGTCTCTTACGAGAGACCCGTGAAGGTCCGGGTTAGAATGAGCCTTCAGTAACCCATGCTTGTAACAGGCGATTAACGGGATCGGGTGGTCAGGCTCGCTGGCTTGGTTGACACATGTCGTCCAATTGCGCAGATCGATACTCATGCTGTTGATCACTGGATCACTCTCTCTCTAACGAGAAGCATGGGTTACTGAAGATCAATTCTAACCCGGATCTTCAGGGGTTGAAAGCATTACCAGTAGTTCTAGTCTGATTGTAATAAACGTATAATGTACCCCAGCAGTGTAATAAACGTATAATGTACCCCAGCAGTGTAATAAACGTATAATGTACCCCCAGCAGTGTAATAAACGTATAATATGTACCAGTGTAATAAACGTATAATGTAAGTAATAAACGTATAATGTACCCAAGCAGTGTAAACCTTTTTCGGATTTTCAGATGCATGGATGGTATGATGGCTGCAGCCTGGTTCCCTGGGTCCGTCGCGCCTGCGCTACGCAACGACTGACCCGGAACCAGGCTGTGATGGCTGATCCTATTTTTTACCTCGATAGTTAATCATGTCATATAACAATGTAATGTCTGTTGACCTGACACACTTGACACACTTGATGTATTTGAATCCGTAAACCAAATCAACCCCTTTGCCATCCCTAGCAAAATCCAAAAATTTACTCAGGTATATTGGTTTATACAGGTTTTAACTTTAGCATACAGCACAGCAAAGAAGTTCCGTTCATGTCCCCAAAGCAGAGTCGACCTCTAAGTTTCTTACGCAATAAACATTGTTTGCAATACAGCGATTACTACTATAGCTCAGGGTGAATAGAAGACGCTGTAGATTATCCCTGCTACTAAAACTCCCTTGCTGTAACCTATGTTGGTGGTATAAACCTACACCTGTTTATTTGTCATCATTGACTTGATGATCAGTTAATGAATTTATAACAGGTATAATTAGTAGTAACACCACTTAAATTAACAGATAAAGGTTCCTATTGTCATTTCTGCAGTAAATACTCAACATAATAATTGTAAGGTCTGATCTGGAAGACTATATATTCTACTATGTTGTAGATTATCCCTGGTCTGATTAAGGCAGTGTTGCGATTGCATGCACCATTGAAGTCTAACCACACAAAATGTGACGTCATCAAATCTTGTGTACATCATGTCCGTGTTTTGACGGAGAGAGTACTGTTAGTGGTTGGGGAGAGTGGACAGGTTGGAATGTTAGTGAAATTTGTCGTGATGAATGGATGCACGCAGAAACAGTTATGTACATGGGCGAAATGCCCGCGGTCACTCTCAATAATTTGCGAGTGACAACGTAGAAAACGACATACCAAATCCTGATATAACGATACAGGTGAGTCAACAGGTAGCGCGCTCAGGTATTCAAGATGATTTCTGCTGTTTCGTAAATTATTTATTTTTAATTCAGTGTCGCAAATGCTATCTGTCTTAAGGCCCTGTCTTAATGCAATATAACTTGATCCGTTCCAGTAAATGTCATTTATTTTTTTAATATGAAAAGTTGTTTTAAAAAAATTAAAGGTCCAGTATGTAATTGATAAATTTGAATTAGTTTAAGTAATTCAATAAAAAATAAATCATTGCAATACGTTATGCCAGCTTTTTTTTATTCAGAAAGACCTTAATAACAGTACTACTTGTATTGCTAGACTGATAATATTATAATGCGTACATAATGTGTTTTCTTGTAAATTCAGAATGCATAAAATTCGTGTAGATTAAATTTACTATTAAAGAATTAAGCTCCCAACATGTGAAACGCTATGTTTTTGTAACCATGGTAATAGCCTCTGATGTTTATTTTATTGTAAGTTTTCAAGTGAACATACCTTAATTACTCATCCGCATTCACACTCTTGTCACGAAGGCCAGATGGAATTACTTTTTAATTCCTCTTCGCTTGATTAAATTTACTGCCTTTTGGCAAATCAACATTGCAATCAATTTCAGCCTTTATGCACAGCATCCAATCAGGTATATATAGCTATATAACATGCACTGTAGACAGTGTTTAAATATGTAAAACCTAAGGACATTTGTAAAACGTTATATTTGGGATTACACGTTCTCAGTAAAGTACAGGTTCTAGTACTTTTGTTGGGTTGAGTGGAAGCCACAGTGGCTGAGCGGGTTAGGTGTGTGACTTTGTGCTCTGACGATTAGGTGCCTGACTCTGAAGGTGTGGGTTTGAATCCCGGATGGGACTCAACCCAACAAAAGTACTAGAATCAGCACTTTACTGAGAAAGTGTAATCTCAAATATAGCGTGTTACATTTGACAACTTTCTAAATCTGTAACTGGCATTGAGCATTCATATTCTAAGGACATTTGAATAATATAAATGATAACCATGGTCCATCAAGACAGTGTAGGAAAGATGTAGAAAATCTAGCCTGTCCACAGGACTGGCAGGTCAAATTTTTTACCAGTCCTGCAAAAATCTAGCCTGTCCTCCAAATATAAATAAAACACCTTCGGCAGTTAATATTCAAAAAGGTTATAATCATTATATATATGTCATTGGTTTGCTAAAATTGGTAACCACAAAGGATTCTTACTTTAATACTTGGATAACTTATGATATTTACAGAATCTGGACCCATAATGTCATAATTAGTATATAATTGACTAAAATTTGCTTCCAAAGTGACATTTTAAAGTTTCAGTCTTAAGAAGAAGGCATTAAAGAAAGTAACTTGGACTGTCATTAATAGATACACATCAAGCAGCTAATATCTTTCATTTATGTCATGTTTTTCATCAAATTTTGTGCCCATGTGTTCTTCAAATATAAAACTACATCATTTCACCTATCATTCCAACCAGTCAATCATCTTGTGAAACAATCAGTCAATCAATGTTGACCCAAAATCATGCATCCACTCACATCAAACATTTTAGTGAATTATTTTCTGTGACAAAGTTTAAAAGGTTCATAAATAATCAATCATTATCAAATCAGTTGTGATGAACCAATAATTTTGCTTATTTTGCTGATGTTTGTTATATCAGGAGCATAGTACTAACAAAATCACCCTGCATTAAGATGTTTCAGATCCCACCTACCCCGACCATCATGAGACGACGCCCAACCTTGTTGCTGACTATCAACTTGATCGTTGCTTTGTTGGCGGTGATATCTCTCCTGGTTTACCAAATCTACAGTTGCTTCACCCAAGGCGACACCCGTATTTGCTTCAGACTCTACCAACCCAGTCAAAACAGTTGTACTCTGCGCTGAAAGGGGATGCTAACGAGATGCTGATCGCAGGTGCCCCTCCCTTCATTGTTCATTACCTGTGGTGCCGAAAGGGGTACTTCGAGTTTAAGCATTACTTGAGTATATTGAGTGTCGTCCAGGTGGTTCGTCCAGATTGGATTGTGTTTCATTACACTCATCTTCCGGTCACAGATAGGAAAGGTTATGTGACATGGTTTAATGACATTCAGCGTGATATTCCATTTTTGTCTTTTAAAAAATTACCCCACACACGTTACTGTGGCCATACCTTTTTTGATAAAAGTGATTTCGTTCTTTCGGATTATGTTAATCCGGCAGGGGTGTTCATATCGGATGAAGTTGCAGTTGTTGACTTCACAAAAGCAGATTATCTCAAAATGGTACTGTCATCAAACTTTATGCATGTACGAGCGTTCCTGTTACCAGCGTCAGAGCCCCATGTTGTGACATCAGGCCGAGAATCGCAGATCTTTGATTGTCCCTCGATTCAAGAATATAACAAATATAAGTCTGGGGGCATTGTTTGTGTTCAACTCACTGACAGACTCTCTCCTGCCGATATCTGGCATCAGAAAAAGCCGTTTTATGAATTTGCGCGAAATCTCACCTATGGATCACCAGATCCAATAGATCCATCAGCAGTTGAAACGTCACTTGTACCCTTACATTGTCATATATTACATGTGACCTCATCTCCAGATTTAGATGTCACTGCATATGCAAGTATCCTCAGCGCCCTCTATGTTGCAAAAATGCAGCATGTGTTTATTCATGGGCCAATCAAACCATCTGGACGTCGATGGGATCAGTTATCGAAACATAATGTGAGTTTCATACCTGTCACGCACATGTCCGACTGGCATCCAGAAATTGGAGACATGATATATGGTGCCTATGTGTTATTACGCCATGGTGGGATAGTTGTACGTTCAGACACCATTTGGAGAAAAGAGTTCCCGAGTGATCTTCGAAAATACACTTCTATTGCAACACTTCGACGGTCAATATACAGAATCATTAACTACTCTGTTGATTTAAATGTACTAATTTCAAAACCTAAGTCTAAATTTTTAAAATCATTTATAACCCGATTAAAACAAGCACCTGCAAGACATTTGGAAGCCAAGAGTGAAGAAATTGCGTATCGTACCTACGTAGATGTTCCTACTGTGCTTAAAATGGACACCAACTTATTGCAGCATGTAGTATGTTCCAAAGGACTGTGTCAGCCGAGGCCAGAGGATATGGCAGCTGGACGGTCACTTCTTGTCCAGTTGGAGTGGAAAGATGGTGCTCCGGGTGTAGAAGGGGATCTGGACCGCTTCAGAGGGCCTGGTGTTGACACAGTCAAAGCAGCTCTACGACAAACTGTATGAGTGTGAGATAACTCTGTATCACTTCATCAGTTTCAAAAACCCTCTAAAGCTCAGAAAATGGTGGTCCAGAGATGACGAAAGATTTTCACAGCTGATGTTTTGGTGCAGAGACAATGAAAGCAGCTCATCAACGAATCTGTTTTTATGATAATTTTTCTGATTGACTGTCCAAAGATTGTTACAGAGCTAGAAAGCAGGTCCTTCAAGAAGTGTCCAAACTGACAATTTCAGCTGGAGAAACTTGAAAACAAACATCAACCATAAAATGATCTCTCTTGTGTTCTGTGATACCAGAGTGTTTCTCGGACTCGCTGTGAGTGTGCGTTCAAAAGTCAGTGTGGATTTATACATGTTAACTGTGATCGCTATCTTGATGTCAGCCATTATTATGTATGTTTATGCCTCTTAAGCTGTGAGAGTGTCAGCACCTAATTTTGAAGCAGCCTCTCCTGGGTGTGAAGGTGTGTCATTGTTTTTTAATTGGAGCTCCTGGGGTCAAGGTCTTTACATGATTTGTTGGCACGACAAGAACATGTCACCTGTCCCTTGAAGGACAAGTTTCAGATCAGGTGGGTGTCAGTTTTGATACTGTTGGTGATAATAGTTGTTATTAATATTGTTCAAGTTTTTTTAAATTTCTTTCAAATTTGTTTTAAAAAATATCCTGTCATTGCTTTAAAATATTGAGTTAAATTCTTAAAAAATGTTTGAAATAATTTTCAAAAGTAGGTATGGAAGGGTGAAATTAAATAGGTAAATAAAGAGAAACAAAATTGAGTGTTGTAAGAGTTACTTCCCTTCTCATGTTGGTCTGTTGCCACTGATATAAGACAATAAATATACAATAATTGAAATTGATTATTTGATAGGAAGTTGCAGGATGGTTATATCAAATCCTAATGCAAACAGGCCAGCCTTTTTTCTTTTGGAGTATTCTTTACTATATTTCATTCCAAATTCCACCAACATAGTGATATATACAGGGCTACAGCTTTTGAGAAAGGGGGTGCACACTATTGAGAAAAGGAGGGGTGCACACTTCATTTTCACCCGAGTTTCAATGGTCATTTAATAAACTTTCAGGAATTCCACCAACATAGCACCCTGGATCCTACTATGTATATATCACACATTTAAACAAAACTCAACATTTCAAATAATTAAGACTATTTGGTATTTTCTCTTTACCAAATTAATGACTTTATCACATGTACTACTAGTCACTTGTTATATTTTGTGACAGTTCACAGATTTTCAGTAATGTGAAGGTCATTTATTTCTGATGTATACCATACATTGAATCTAGGTTACCATGGTTACCATGACTACTATCCTACATGTAGCCAATGTTTGCAAATACATTCAGGGTCAAATTGTATATTATATACAAAGTAGGTATAGTCCGTATTTGTATATGACATGATAACTAACCATTGTGTATATTATCCTGTTATCAAACCCATCCTTAAACCAATGTTTACAAATACATGTACACTCAAAATATATATAACCAATCATTGTGTATAACATCCTTGGAAGGAACACATACTGTATGTAACCAATGTTTGAAAATACACTCAAAATCAAGTTATATAACCAACAATTGTATATAACATCCTTGGAAGGAACACATCCTGTATGTAACCAATGTTTGCAAATACACTCAAAATCAAGTTATATAACCAACCATTGTATATAACATCCTTGGAAGGAACACATCCTGTATGTAACCAATGTTTGCAAATACACTCAAAATCAAGTTATATAACCAACCATTGTATATAACATCCTTGGAAGGAACACATCCTGTATGTAACCACTGTTTGCAAATACACTCAAAATCAAGTTATATAACCAATCATTGTATGCCAGCTTATGGAACATCCTTGGAAGGAACACATATAACATCAAGTTATATAACCAACAATTGTAAGGAACACATCCTGTATGTCAAGTTAACCAATGTTTGCAAATACACTCAAAATCAAGTTATATAACCAATCATTGTCCTGTATAACATCCTTGGAAGGAACAATCATCCTGTATGTAACCATCCTGTATATAATCAATGTTTGCAAATACACTCAAAATCAAGTTATATAACCAATCATTGTGTATAACATCCTTGGAAGGAACTCAAAATCATCCTGTATGTAAACCAATGTTTGAAAATACACTCAAAATCAAGTTATATAACCAACCATTGTATATAAATCCTTGGAAGGAACATCCTTGGAAATACACTCAAAATTGGGAGTTATATAACACATCCTGTATGTAACCAATGTTTGCAAATACACTCAAAATCAAGTTATATAACCAACCATTGTATATAACATCCTTGGAAGGAACACATCCTGTATGTAACCAATGTTTGAAAATACACTCAAAATCAAGTTATATAACCAACCATTGTATAAAACATCCTTGGAAGGAACACATCCTATATGTAACCAATGTTTGCAAATACACTCAAAATCAAGTTATATAACCAACAATTGTATATAACATCCTTGGAAGGAACACATCCTGTATGTAATCAATGCTTGCAAATAGAAAGAACTCTATTGGTTGTTTAACACAGCACTCAGCACTATTCCAGCTATATGGCGGTGGTCTGTAAATAATCGAGTCTGGACCAGACAATCCAGTGATCAACATAAGCATCAATCTACACAATTGGGGTACAGTGACATCTTCTCTTTTACTTTGAATTAGTAGATAAACTTTACTGCATGCAGATTACAAGGTTAACTTTTACTCTTTATCAATTTGAAATCCCTGTCATAAAAAAGAAAATTACCTTAATGGAAATCCCCTAAAAAATCAGTTATATCAGATTTGATTGTTTTAGTGCAATGTACAGCATTGTGTAGTCCATGATTGGAAAACCACCTGAATATGTACAATTGACAATGACTACCATGCATGGGGATTTTACAGGCTGTTTTCATTGCACTCTTGGATAGGTTTATCACAGTGACTGAATTAATTGGTGTCATTTCACTGATTACTACATACTCAATTGTTCACCATTGTTGGTGGGCCTTCTAGCACAGACTGGGGTGGTGGGGTAGCCTTATGGTTAAAGCTTTCGTTTATCACACCGAAGACCAGGACTCGATTCCCCACATGGGTACAATGTGTGAAGCCCTTTTCTGGTGTCCCCAGCCCTGATATTGCTAAAAACGGCGTAAAACTAAACTAACTCACTCACACGAGCACAGATGATTTGCCTGTGATTGATAACCTTGTCCTGCATAACCTTACTTGTGAATTTAGTGAGGTCAGGGGTGGAAATAACTTTAAAATTGATAGTGTACTCCGGTATAGTGGCACATGTAAAATCACTTGCCCTGATAATTTTTCCACTATACCGGCTGTTTCCTTGTTGATTTTTTACATAAACAACATAATTAACATTGGAAAGTCAACTGGACACCGGTACAGTGTGATATACAAATTTGCTTGCCCGACAGAAAAAGACACTGGACTCGGGCGTCGGGCAATGGGTTATTTCCACCCCTGGAGGTGATCCAGCTTTAAATATTAGTACTCTATTGGTAATGTATTCTTTTCAGTATTCTCAACTACTTTTAAACCATGATTACACAATGCCATTTAGAAAGCGGTCAAATGTAACATATATTATATTTGGGATTACACTTTCTTAGTAAAGTACAAATTCTAGTACTTTTTGAGTTGAGCCCCATCCGGGATTTGAACGCACACCCTCAGAGTCAGGCACCTAATCGCCAGCACACAAAGTCGCTATGTTGTTGTTATGCTGTCCAAAGGTGACAGGTTTCCAATCTTAACTATATTCAGCATTTATCACTCAACTTCTCATCATGATGTGTCCATTAAGGCAATGTTCCTGCTATAGCACCCTGTCAATACAGGCCAGGCAAACCAATGGTTGATAGTATGAATGAGATAATGACAAGATTGTCAGCCTAAAACCATTCCAGCTATATTGCAACACTGTAAATAAATGAGCCTTGACCAGGCAAACCAAAAATTGTCATTCTTTCAGCCTGAACATATTCCAGCTATATCACAGCACTAAGTCATTGATTCTTTAACTGGCAAACAGGTGGTTGATAGCATGAGTGAGATATTACCAAGATTGCCAGCCTTTGAGCCTGAAAGCATTCCAGTTATATTGCAACACTAAGTAATTGAATCTTGAAATGGCAAACAGGTGGTTGATAGTATGAGTGAGATATTACCAAGATTGCCAGTCTTTCAGCCTGAAAGCATTCCAGTTATATGGCAATACTGTGAATAAATGAGTCTTGACCAGGCAAACCGATAGTTAATAACATGAGTGAGATATTACCAAGATTTTCAGCCTGAAAGCATTCCAGTTATATCGCATCATTAAGTAATTGAATCTTGAACAGCCAAACAGGTGGTTGATAGCATGAGTGAGATATTACCAAGATTGCCAGTCTTTCAGCCTGAAAGCATTCCAGTTATATGGCAATACTGTGAATAAATGAGTCTTGACCAGGCAAACCGATAGTTAATAACATGAGTGAGATATTACCAAGATTTTCAGCCTGAAAGCATTCCAGTTATATCGCATCATTAAGTAATTGAATCTTGAACAGCCAAACAGGTGGTTGATAGCATGAGTGAGATATTACCAAGATTGCCAGTCTTCCAGCCTGATGCACCTAAATGCTCATATGCTGTTGTGTCATGTGGTTTTCCATGTTAGAAGAGGTTTCCTGCACCAGCACAGTCTTTCTTGTTAAACTCACTGATGGTTGTGAAGGCTGACTGACTGAGACTTACGCATTTCAAGGCAGTGTTAAGTCAAACAAAAGCTCACGTTTTTTTATTCCACTGACATTTGTGACAAGTATTTTGTGGATAGTATATAGACTCTGTTATTCTGCATTATTTAAAGTTTAAAAAAAATCATATTACCTGTCATTTTACCACTTCTCTATATTTCAGGTCATTGTATTCCTGAATAAATGCAAAGTGACACCCCAGCTATTTATTAAAATTCTCATACTCAATCTGATATTAAAACTATGGGTGTAAAAGCATACTAAGTCACAAGATGTGATTTCATTGGGCATGGAAGGGAACATAGTCCTGAAATGTATATGAATAGACCACTGAAAAGCTGGAACATGACCACTAAAAGGGAACCATAAAACAAATGGAAGGGTTCCAATGTTTGTTTTGTGTTAATTTGTATATTATCATCAACATTCCCAGGTATTGCCAAATGACAAAAAGGTTCTATGTTTTTTAAACACCTTCCATTTTATAGATGTATGTATTGATGTACAATAAAATTGTCAATGCTATGAGTATCTATGCAATGTAAGACTGCACAAAGTCTACATAAACTTGTTTGTTCTATATTACAAGTGTTCCTTGTTTCATGGGCGGTGGGGGTAGCTTAATGGTTAAAGCGTTGGCTTGTCACGCCGAAGACCCGGGTTCGAATCCCCACACATGGGCACAATGTGTGAAGCCCATTTCTGGTGTTTCCCCCCCCATGATATTGCTGGAATATTGCTTAAAGCAGCGTAAAACCAAACTCAGTCAGTCAGTCCTTGTTTCATTGTTGGCCAGGGGCTGGTTGGCCTTAGTCTCTGGGGTGTTCTTAGTTTTCTCCCTTAGATATGTCAGAATCCTGTGGTTTAGGGGTTTGAATCTCAGATTGGTATTTCATGTAGCTTTGTTTCTTTTACTTGACACAGACACTAAGTCTCTGAAAATGTACACTTTTCATAGAAGAACTCTATTTATATTGAACCAAAGTAAGATGGAGAATCTGGACTTGCTTCATGAATGTGTGTGTCAGTGTGTGTGTGAGTGAGAGAGAAGGGGTAGCCTAGTTGTTAAGGCGTTCACCAAATCCCGGTTTGATTCCCCACATGGGCACGATGTGTGAAGCCCATTACTGGTGTCGCCTGTGATATTGCTTCAATATTGCTAAAAGCAGCATAAAACTAAACTCACTCAAAGTGCTGTGCTTCTATCACCCAATATGTTGTAGGCACCAGAACTAGAGGTCTGAACTATAAACACATGAAAACTAATGAAATAGAATCTGTAAACTGTTTAATTCAAACTTAATTGAAAGAGTGAGTGAGTGAGTTTAGTTTTACGCCGCACTCAGCAATATTCCAGCTATATGGCGGCGGTCTGTAAATAATCGAGTCTGGACCAGACAATCCGGTGAGCATTGATCTGCGCAATTGTGTCAACCAAGCCAGCGAGCCCGACCACCCGATCCCGTTAGTCGCCTCTTACGACAAGCATGGGTTACTGAAGGTTCATTCTAACCCGGACCTTCACGGGTATAATTGAAAGAGAAGACATTTTCTCTGTGTTTGTCCTGCTTGCCGCTCTTTGAGAACCAAGCATTTTGTACATCACAACATCTATACATTTGTACCTTTTTTAAACCATTCAAGCCACCCGCACACAGAACGATTGATTGAAACATATTTTATTCAATTAAGAAACGGATTGGGCACACGTTATCCAACTTAAATAAGCCCTAAGCATGAACGATTGTCCATGTACATCCATTATGCCTTTTTACACCGAACATATTTACTCTGTGAAGTGTCTACTGCCTAAATTATATGTATAATTGTACTACAGGCCTGTGGGCGTTTCAGTGCAGGAAATAAAGAATATGAATTCGAACAATAAACAATAATCAAGCACCACCCACACTTTATATGATAAATACGAACTCACTTGATGTTTTTGTACATGCTATACAAAATTCCGCGGGTAATAAGGTACCGTATTTCCTCTAATAAGCGCTGGTTACGTTTTTTATAAATCTACTCTCCCTTGATCTTAAATAGATTTATTAAGGAATGGTCCCTAATCCCTTTGACGTAACGCTCACTGACAATTATGGTACACCCAGTAAGTGCAATAACACCGGGCCTCTAATAAGCGCCGGTTCTGGAAGTCAGCTTATTAGTGAGTGAGTTTAGTTTTACGCCGCACTCAGCAATATTTCAGCTTTATTGCGGCGGTCTGTAAATAATCGAGTCTGGACCAGACAATCCGGTGATCAACAGCATTAGCATCGATATGCGCAATTGGGCACCGATGACATGTGTCAACCAAGCCAGCGAGTCTGACCACCCGATCCTGTTAGTCGCCTCCTACGACAAGCATGGGTTACTGAAGGTTCATTCTAACCCGGATCTTCACGGGTAGTGGGCTTATTAGATGAAATACGGTAAATGGGCTTCTTACCGGCTTTGGTAACGTTTCGATTGCATTGTTCTGCAAATTGTCAATGACTTGAGAACGGTGAGGTCTAGCGTTGTCTTCCATGAATAGCGGACGACTGGCAACGGGGTGGCACGACGGCGGTATCCAGTACTTCTTGTCGATACCCGTGAAGTTCCGGGTTAGAATTGGTCTTCAATAGCCGTAAGAGGTGACTAACGGGATCGGGTGGTCAGGCTCGCTGACTTGGTTGATATATGTCCCAATTGCGTAGAACGATGCTCATGATGTTGAGCACTGGATTGTTTGGTCTGGTTATTTACAGACCGTCGCCATATAGCTGTAATATTGCTGAGTGCGGCGTAAAACTAAACTCACTTACCCACTGATACAGTTGACCGTTGAGTGTCCCTGGTCCTGTGGTCCTGTGGCACAACCTGTAGTCTCACGAAACACAACCCCACAGGGCCCACACCAGTCCTGAGACATTATCCAAGGGTTCAGCTGCATGGATCACCTCCTGGTGGTATGCCTCCCTACAACGTCTCAAAACGCCACAACGGCCGTAGTGTTGAAGATAGAAGAACGTGAATCAAGCTAGAGGTTCCATTCTGTGCCTGTTTGTGTGGAAGGGACGGGTAATGCATGCCGTTCTTTCAAAGCAACCAATGAACATCCAAATCACCAGGAAGAGAGTGAGTGAGTTTCAGTTTTATGCCACTTTTAGCAATATTCCAGCAATATCACGGCGGGGGACACCAGAAATGGGCTTCACACGTTGTACCCATGTGGGGAATTGAACCCGGGTCTTCTGCGTGACGAGCGAACACTTTAACCACGAGGCTGCGCCCGAAACAGAGGACAGGATCAGCTCATGAAAGCTGGAGGTGTGCCCTTTCTTCAGGTCGGAGCTTGGAAGGTACCAGGCTTGTGAGCAGTTGGTTCATTCTGCGCTCGAAACATATGGTCTATTTATTACCTACGAGGGCAAAAATAACGTGGTTAATATACGATGCCCAAGGGCAAAACATCACTTTGTCATGGTGACGTGACGTCATGAACAATGCTATGATATCACGTTTTTTCTATGACGTTGCGTTCTACGTTCGTCGACGGCGGATAGCCAGCCTATGTTTGAAAATAGATTTGGGTATATATTCCTCAATTTGACCACTTTGGTATTAAATAGAACAATATATTATTGCCCATATCATACTATGTTTACGACATCTTGATATCTAATATATTGATGAGTTTTGAAGGGCAGGCCCCACTTGCACAAAGCGATCTAAGCGCGACGATAATCCTAACTCCCATACTTTAACCCAGCCTAAGGTGGTTGCAGCGCTAAGATCGCTTTGTGCAAGTGGACTCAGGGACACATTATGTCAGCACAATGTGAGAAGAAAGCCAGACGTCATACCTTCTGAACTTTTGCGAAACCCACGAGTACGGGTCTGAGCCAAGATTCACAGGCATGATGTAGCTGTGATTTCAACTCGATTCTGGCACGCCTCACGCTCACGGCGCATTCCGTCGCCTGAAACGACTGAGTTCCCTTTGCCCCTTAGAACAGATAGGGTTAACCCTTATGCATTCATCGCGTAGATGCTGGACATGCACAGGCACGTGAGGATTGTCCTCCAGCACGACAGAGGACCAGAACTTCTGCAGAGCTGCTGCTGAGATCACTCCACGGAAAACATGGAACCGGACATGCAGATAATGGACGTCGGTCACTTACGACCGCCAAACGGTAACTGGTAATACAAGCTCATATCAATCGAGTTTTCCATCTTTTAATGAGTGGGTTGGTTTTACACCGCTTTTAGCAGTATAACGGATACCACGGACAGAATATTTTCTTTAAATTAAACGTCAAACACATTTGGAATGCATATTGAGTGAGTGAGTTTGGTTTATCGCCCCTTTGAAGTGTATCCCAGTCATAGCACATGGTTTCATCTATGTTGGGGGGGAGGTCACTTATAATGACAAAGAAGTATAGATCAACAATAAAGATTTTGTAATCGTTGTGATGTAAATGCAATCTGATTACAAAATATATAGTCAGTTGCAGTCTGTAATTCTATGGTGTATGATAATGGTAGCTTTCAGCTTATGTTCTATACGTGTTTGCCTTCATTAAGTTTGTGTTAGTAAATAACACATGACAGTGCGAAAACTGAGGCACTCATCTGACAACTGATTGGCTAATACAGATTTAAAAAACACAACTTTATGCTCCAATATCCACATTGTGTCTCTCCAATCACTTCAGTTGACATTGATGTTATACAACATATGTTCTGGTCTATATACCATGGTATATCAGCTAGAAAATACATTTAATAACACCAGAAAAAACATATAATTATATTGTCTCTGATAACACACTATCGTTGCCAATAAGTGCAGTACACTGAGGACCCGTAGCCTCACTGGTTTGGATAAATAAATCTGTCACGCTAAACGACTATAGCAAGGTTGTCAATAATCTTCATCAGACCGTGCCTACAGATGACATAAGTGAGTGAGTATGGCTTTACGCCGCTTTCAGCAATATTCCAGCAATATCAAGGTGGGAGACACCAGAAATAAGCTTCTCACACTGTACCCATGTGGGGAATCGACCCCGGGTCTTCACCCGAACACTTTAACCATTAGGCTAGCCCACCGCCCACAAGTGACATGAAGAAGTTGACCGTCCATGCATACCATCTTTAATGATATCTTTGAAACATTCTTTTACTAAACTCTTCCATAAGATTGTAACAGAAAGATCTGATGCCGTCTGTAAAATTCTGTTGTGTGTATTGGGGAAGCATCTTTATAATCTTTCAGATTATGTTGTGTGTATGTGGAAGCATGGGGAAGCATTATGTTGTGTGTATGTGGAATCTTTATAATCTTTCAGATTATGTTGTGTGTATGGGGTGTGTAAGCATCTTTATAATCTTTCAGATTATGTTGTTATGTTCTAAATCGTGTAAAGCTTTCATTATCTTTCAGTTCGTGTTTGTCAAATAACAGACATCTTTATAATCTTTCAGACAGTGCGAAAAGCATCTTTATAATCTTCAGAGGCACTCGTGTGACTACTGATTAGCAATTACACGCCATGGTTTGTGGTACGTCACGCTGTTATCTGGGGTAGTGTCCTGCTGCGGTGTCAAAACGCATTTGACTTTCATTTCTATTGTCTATAGATAGTTCAGCTTGTAATATTCCGAAGGAATAGTAACCATGAACGTAGCCATACTCTATTATATTCTTAATTTATAATATTTCTTAATTACTGTTGACATTTTTTTATGATTACTAAAACATGTATGTTTCGTAGAGACGTCGCTTTTCATTACATTTTAAATGTCAACGCCAGAAAAGGTGGATTATGGTTTTGTATAGAGCCTTAATTACAGCTGCAGCTAAACGGATGTACAAAAGAAAGTATACTCCTGATGCTTTGGTAAAATGTTTTCCTGAAAGCAGCGTAATATTTAGAAACGTGTTTTGATTCCGACTCAAGTCACAAACATTGTGTACGTGTTGCAATAACACCATAGATATCGTACCCAATTGGAACATTGCTAAGCAACATATTTACGTTGTTTTGATAGTCTCAAAAACACCAGGTGTGTACTTTCTTTTGTACATCTGTATATAATCCCAGATACTTTTAGTGTCATGGAATTAATACTTTCCGCCCTAACAACATGCTTTAAAATACATCTTTCGGGAATATATTTTTGTGGGAGACATTTTCTTTTCTTTTCAACAATCTGAGGTATAATGATTTTTCTAGGGGTGGGTATTACAGAGAATTTTCATGTTGCGATGCGAAAGCATATATTGCGATATGTATTGCAATATATTGCAAGATTTTTTTTTAACAAAAAAACCTACTTATTATCGAGTTAAAGCTTGACTTATAAAGCCAAATCACAACAAAATCGCTATGCTTGATTAACCTCAATAAATACTTTTAATCATGACAAAGTAAAAATGTAAATAATATTTGGCACAAATGAAACAAGGAAAAGAACAATTTAACATCAACACAGTGGTTACTAGTTTCAACTAGTTCCTCCACTCTCAAAAAACCCCTCAGATTTTACATAGCAACTTGACCTGGTCAGGACATATCAGAGATCACTGGTCATAAATGAGTAAATATTCAAAACATTCAGATCCAAAACAATGCGAAACACTTGAACAAAAATTAAGAACACTACCTCAAACCGAACTCAACAATCCAGTTAAATGTAATTTTCACCACCATCATTCCCACCACCATTACCACAATTGCCAATTGTTACGAAGTTTTCCGAATGCATGTCAAAATACCGGTTTTCGATCAGCGTATCGCAATAAGTATCGTTTTCATGCGTGAACCGGTAAACCGGTTATATTGCGCAGCCCTAGATTTGTCCCGGTACTTTCGCGGACAATTTAGTGTTTTCGATAAAATCCCATGTAAATTGTTAATCTTTCACCCAAAACTGGAAAACTGCTTACGTTATGTCACTAGAATACTGTTGAAAGCGGTGTTAAACCCCAACACACTCACTTACTCTTTGTTTATTCGCCACGAATAGATGCAACATTAACAATAATAACCCAAATCCTGTTGGGGTGTCAAGTTGAAAAAGGGATGTTCAGATGTGGGTGATATCCCCAAGAGGTTATCATCGAGTTTGATTTCAGACACAATTGACAATGACAACAGCATATCCAAGATGGCCACCAAGCCACCGGGTGAAGGTTGCCTGTCTAAGTTTACGTCGTGTCGATGGCAGACTGGTTACCTGACATTGTGGTGCTCATTGCTGCTGTTTGCCTTTCGGCACTCGTTCAACTTCGCCATAGTGTGTATGGAAACGGGCCACGTAGTCGACAGCAACATCACGGATGCATACAATACAACCATTACCAGCGTTGCAGACAGTGCCAAAGTTGGTTGATTAAATATTCTTATTTGTTCCTTTTGAACTTAAGGTCGTATCTGTGTTTCTCCTTGTAACGTTACTAGCAGAGACTGGGTGCCTGTATTACTTGATCGTGGGGCTACGCTGGTTTAATTACAAAAACTCCTGTCATTTAGAAATACCTGAGCGATGCATCCGCGCAACTTAACTATAATAAACTAAAAATAAACATAAAGCTGTAAGAAAGTTTTTGTTTTATTACGAACATACACAATGTTTTTCGGTGTGTCTTTAAACTCTTTTATAGTTTTTCCAATAATTAATGGTATTTTAAATATTTTAGGTTTAATAAAAACATTTCAATATGCGATTTAATTTGGGTTTAACGGAGCCGTATTTCAGTTATATGTCTCAGTGATAGGAAGAAGGAAGACACGTAAGCGGTGAGCCTTAAGAGGCAAAACAGTGGTGAACATTATGACACCGGGTGTTCGAAGAAGACACCAACGTGAATTGTTAACTTCTCATCTAAAGCCGTTCAATCTTTACCAGACCCATAACAGAGTCAACATATCAGTCAAAACTTGTTTGTATACATTTTATTCTTAATGATAATAATGATAGCGGATTTGTATTGCGCTTTTTCCATGCTTGGAAATTATGCTCAAAGCGCAGGGGATCGTAATGATGATTACATTTTCCAGTTAATTCGAAGACGAAACTGTATTTCATTTTACCGTCAATAGTGCTTCTGGTTGGCGCAGCAGAGGTCGCGAACCAGTCAAGAATTCTGGCATGACATCCGGGCACCAACGTGTAAAAACAATAGCAAAAACAACAAGAAGTTCAGAGAGATTGCTCTAGATCAATGCCCCTTTAAGTCTGTTCTTTGACAATCTTACGACAATCAGACAATCACTATTATTATGTAGATATTCATTTTTCCATCACCAGGTTGTGAATCCGTATATTCCGGATGACGTCCGAGGGTTGGTGCTTTCCTGTTACTTCTACGGGTATCTATGGACGCCTCTGATTGGTGGATACCTTGCAGCTAGATTTGGGCCGAAGCTTATGATTACTGTATCGATGGCGGTGTCCATGGTTGTCATGGTGCTCCTGCCAATCAGCATCCGTACTAATGTCTACATTGCTGTTGCCATGCGGGTGGCCATGGGGTTCGCCTCGGTAGGGCGCGTGCGTGCGTGCGTGCGTGTCGCTGGAATGTTGCTAAATTATTGCTGGGATGTTGGTTGATTGTTGCTGCAATGTTGCTTGCTGCGGGAGTTTTGTCAGACTGTTGCTGGAATATTGTCTGCATTGTTATTGGATCGTTGGTGGAAATGTATTAGAATGTTGTGACTATAGCGTAAAACAAATATATATGGGAATTTTAAAAGCCTATGATATCCACCACTTACCACATGGTCGGATCCAAGAATTTTGAAGGGGGTGGGGGTGGGTTTGTGTGTGTGTGTGTCAAACCCCCGAACCCCCATTGGCTCCGCCAACGCCAAAAAAATCTTCAATGTGGTCTTAAGTCATTTTCGCCGTGATATTGCTGGATTATTTCTAAAAGCGGGGTAAAACACTCACTCACTCGACAGATTTACATTTACGGATGCAGCGTAAACAACAAAGGAACGTGACAAAATCTACGTACTATTTTTTTTCAGGGAGTTTTATTGCCGTCACAACAAGTGTTATGGTCAAACTGGGCCCCACTTTCGGAAAAGGCTCAACTCGCTGCGACGTCAAATTCAGGTAACAGTAGCATGAGTAAAAAAATGTATGTTGACCTGAGCACAGGCAAACTGTAGCGCAAATAGGGTTGCTCAACAAAGAGAAAATGACCAGTCTTCACTCGCTCGCATGATAGGAAGACTGGTCATTTTCTCTTTGTTGCGCAACCCTATTTGCGCTACAGTTTGCCTGTGAGCTGAGAGAGCTGCAGTGTTAGTTGGTTGTATGGAATCAGAGAGGGGCCATCTTCGCGTTATAGCCCACTGGTAAAAGTTAATTTTTTTATTCAAAGCACACATGGTCAAAATGTCGTACTGTCTTACTTTTGTTTATTTTTAGCACTTGAGTCTTTGTCTTCACTAACCCATGCTTGTCGTAAGAGGCGACTAACGGGATCGGGTGGTCAGGCTCGCTGACATGGTTGACACATGTCATCGTGTCCCTGTTGCGTAGATCGATGCTCCTGCTGTTGATCACTGGATGTTCTGGTCCAGACTCGACTATTTACAGACCACGCTGTATAGCTGTAATATTGCTGAGTGAGGCGTAAAACTAAACTCACTCACTCACTCTTCTCATAGCACCTAATAAATAATAATATTAAGCGACTCTGTTTATGGAGATGCCATCGTAAAAAAGTCGACTGACTGAGTTTGGTTTTACGCCGCTTTTAGCAATATTCCAGCAACATCACGGCGGGGGACACCAGAAATGGGCTTCACACATTGTACCCATGTGGGGATTCGAACCCGGGTCTTCGGCGTGACGAGCAAACGCTTTAACCATTAGGCTACCCCACCGCCCCTTTACAAAAGTGGCCTTTATCCTGTAAATTCTTATAAAAAACCACAACACTAACAACTCTAGAGGACGCATATTTCATATTTTGCACGTTTGACAAGGATACGAAGTAGCTCAGCGCAATCATGTGCTAAACAATACTGACTGAGTTTGGTTTTACGCCGCTTTTAGCAATATTCCAGCACCATCACGGCGGGGAGCACCAGAAATGCGCTTCACACATTGTACCCATGTGGGGATTCGAACCCGGGTCTTCGGCGTGACGAGCCAACGCTTTAACCACTAGGCCACCCCACCGCCCTGCTAAACAATAAACAAACAAACAAACAAACAAAACTTTGCTGTGATGTCCTGCAGGAGTGAACGTCGGAAGTATCATGGCCACTGCCGTCTCCGGATTCTTATGCCAGATACCATTCGATGAAGGCTGGCCTCTTCCCTTCTACGCGTATGGTAAGTTAAATCTGATGTAACTGAGTATGGTTGTACGGCTCTTTTAGCAATACTCCAGCAATATCACGGCGAGGGACACCAAAAGTGGCTTCACACATTGTACCCATACGGGGAATCGAACCCGGGTCTTTGGCGTGATGAGCGAAAGCTTCAATCACAAGGCTACCCATCGACCCGTTAAATCTGAAAAAATGTCTGTTACAACTGAATTATTGTATTTGGCTTGAATTCAAACTCACACTTTTATGTATCTTTTCACAAATACCATTTTTGCATGGACATTATCTTTTTTACATTATGAATAAATTAACATATTCATTGAAAGTGTGTGAGTCTGGTACAACGCCATTGTATTCCGGTGATACTGCTACAACACTGGGTCAGCTTGATGTGGGGAACAAACCCGAAATAACGCAGTTTATGGACATTTTGCTCATAGGTGTTCTTTGAAGATCCGGGTTAGAATTGGTCTATAGCAACCTTTGCATATCGTAAGATCCGTCTAAGGTGATAGTTGGTCACTGGTGAGGCTACAGCTTAGATAGGATACTGTAATGTCTGGTCCAGACTCAAATTGTTTACACGCGTCAATATAGTTGGAATTCGGGCGTTATACAAAGCAAAAGCATTCAAACAAACGAGCAAGTTTGGTGAAAGTTGCTATTCCAGCTATATAACGACAGTCGGTAAATGAGTGAGTTTAGTTGAGTTTTACGCCGCACTCAGCAATATTCCAGCTATATGGTGGCGGTCTGTAAATAATCGAGTCTGGATCAGACAATCCAGTGATCAACATCATGAGCATCGACCTACGCAATTGGGTTACGATGACATGCATCAACCAAGCCAACGAGCCTGACCACCCGATCCCAGTAGTCGCCTCACGATAAGCATGGGTTTCTGCATGAAGACCAATTCTAACCCGGACCTTCACGTGTCCCGTTGGTGAAAACAGGGATCTCTCACTGCCTGCGTGCTGACAGCACCCTGGAAAGGTCATAGGTCATGAGCAGTACGAACCCTTGGACAGAAACCAATTCAATGCGATTAATTTCGTCGATGAATTTTAACAATAAGCCATGCGAGGTCTCTTCCTTCTGTGTCAGCTGGTGTGGGCGTGGTCTGGATGGTCTTCTGGCTGTTGTTCGTCCACGATTCTCCAGAGCAGCATCCCAGATGCTCCAATGAAGAAAAGCAGCGCATCTATTTCGGCAAGACCTCCATCAAGTCTTCATCTAAGGTCAGTATACATGTAGATGTTGCATAAATGATTTCAACCAACAGAAGACCCGTGAAGATCCGGGTTTGAATTCAGTATAACCCATGCTTGTTCGAGGCCACTAACGGGATCGGGTGTTCAGGCTCGCTTACTTGGTTGACACATGTCATCGTATCCCTGTTGCATATAGCTGGAATATTGCTGGGTGCAGGGGTAAACAACAAACCAACCATGGCAACCAACCAAATCAACCAAAAGAAGGTTAATGCTTCTACACAGAATTTCCCACTCACTCGGTGGAATCTAGACCATTTTGTTATCGTGTGTTAAAGTCATCGTAACACAACGTATCTCCTCCGGTTAACATAGACTTCCGATATAAGAAAGAGCCGATACTTTCAAGCACATAGCTCTCAGTGTGTACCAGTATTTCGGACGGTAAATGGTTAAGGTTCTAAGTGTAGAGTTAATACTCAAAGATATGTATATAGTTAATAGATAAATAGTTAATAAAATTTAGTTATTGTACTTTATGTTTCTCATGCAATGCACAATGTACCCGTGTTAAAGCGTTGCAGTCAATTTTCAAAGCTCTAGCTATCTTGTCGATATTCAGGTCCTGCTGAATACTGATTAAATACTTGAGACGTATTTGGTCAATATTCAAGGATGGCTATCTAGTCAATATTATACAATTATAGACTCGCAAGCTCGGTCGATATTGTTTTACTCAGGTCAATAAAAACCGATATCGACCTCTACAAGAGTATAATACAAGTATAATTGTTTTATTATATAATGAAAGAGAAACGGGTTACGAAGCCCCTTTCGTACGGGTAAACAATAGTACGGGATTCCTTGTCTATTTTTAGTAACCCAAGTCAATATCGTAATTTATCAGAAAACTCAAGTCAATATCGTGTTTTGTAGTCAATCATGTGACGGTATTTTGACCAATCGTGGTACAGGAAATATACTACCTATATAATAATCAGTTCTATAGCATTATAACTGGATACTGATAAAATACTTGTGATGTATTTGGTCAATATTCAAGTTTAGATGTTTTTGGTCTAGTCTCAATATTCAAAGCTTTAGCTATCAAGTCAATATTCAATATGTAAGTGATCAAAACTTAACTAACTTTATGGTCAATTTTAAAGAATCAAGATACCTCGTCAATATTCTAGGCTCAAATAATCAGGTCAGTATTCAAGGGTCAAGTCTATTTTAAAGTCTCTATGTTACGATTAGTTAGTCAAAGCAATCGACAATTATATATCATGTGGGATTTCTCGGTTTCTTTAAATTCAGCAGTCTGTTCCTGAAAATATCGAAAGTTAATGTGAATTCAGGTTTGGTTTAATAGTTCTTCAGCACTGACAAGACAAAACGTATTGTTTCTAACAGAAGTCCCAATTTGTCGATCCAGTACATTATTCATACTGCCTCGACCTAGCTTACATTCGCACTGGGGTAGCCTAGTGGTTAAGGCGTTCGCTCGTCACGCTGAAGACCCGGGTTCGATTCCCCACATGGACACAATGTGCGCAGCCCATTTCTGGTTTTCCCCCGCCGTGATATTGCACGAATATTGCTAAACGCGGCGTAAACCTAAAGTCACTCACTCACTACATCCGCACTCATCTGGTACACCCGGACATAGCTGATATAATACTGATTCGAGCAGAGTTGAACCATACTCACTCACCCTCGTTGTTATCCAGCCTCTACCGTGGATGAAGACGTTGCGGTCGATGCCTTTCTGGGCCCTGGTTGTCAATCACGTGTCCCACTCCTGGATCATGTCGTCGATACAGACGTTCCTGCCCATGTACATGAGCGATGTCCTCAAGTTTGACATTACTTCGGTAAATAACTCTCAACAGGTCATCATCCCAAACCAAGGGAGATAACTGATTATTTAAAAGCTGTTCGGCTTGTCCCGGAATAACCTACCTGAGTTGGTCAGGAATGCTGTGATTATGGGTTCAATTTCCGGTTGTCCTGATTATATTTCGAGGTTTGTCAGCACCAGATCTGTGTTTTTGGGTTTCATTGAAGTGGCAAACATCTAATCTCCATCACATCGGGCGTCACAATGTACGTAATACGCCGTTATATAACTGGGGGCGATGGGGTAGCCTAGTGGTTAAAGCGTTCGCTTGTCACGATGAAGACCCGGGGTTCGAAGCCAATTTCTGGTGTCCCCCGCCATGATATCGCTGGGATATTGCTAAAACTGGCTCAAAACTATACCAACTCACTCATTATATAACTAGAATTAGCGTGTGTGGTTCCGACATGCTCCCTACAGAACGGCCTCCTTTCGTCTCTCCCGTACATTGGGCGTTTCTTCGGCGGCCTCTTTTTCGCCTACATCGCTGACCTCGTGCTCCAGAAGACTTCCCTCTCTGTGACGGTCAACAGGAAGATATTCCAGACACTAGGTATATATACACTCGATCTCTTCTTTTCCCAAATTTATATCTGGAAATCACAGGTTTGTATTCAAAATTCGACAGGTCGGGAGTGAATTACGTTGTACAAGTGTTCAGGTATCTCGATATACACTACACTACGGTTTTTACGAAATTAAAGGGGCCATCTACGGGGTCTATTGGTACAGTAAAACACCGTTATGGCGAAGTTAACACACATAAATGCTTCGAGTTATCCGATATTCGTGTAGCGGCCATAAAAGTTCCAAATCCCTTACTGGGATTCAAACCACGGACCTTCTAATCCGAAGTCAGACGCATTGTCCACATGACCAAAGAGGTTGACCCCGTCAGCAAACCAACAAGGTAAGGATGTCATCTGTGGGATGACTCCACGCCCTGCTACATTAATTCGACACAACCACAAGACAATTTGTGGATAAGGAATACGAGGGGACAAAGCTTATACTTCGATACAAGTGTAAGTTCGACACAACGATGTATGGCTGTATATGGTCAGGTATACTTATACTGACAATATTGGTCAGGTAGGTATATGGTCAATACGTAGTACCATGGGCAGATTGTAAATGGAACACACAAAAGGTATGTTTTTTACATGTATGTACGACACAGCACGTATATTGGCAATCTGGTACGTCACAACTTTGATACATTGTGTCACGCAACAGATATACTGACTATGCTCTATTTCATATCGGCGTCGACTGATAAGTTCAGAGCCTCTTATAGAAACTAACAATGTACCGCACTGTAAAAATATTGACAATGCGTCCCACTATAGAAATATTCAGAATGTGCCGCACGAAAGGAATATTTAGATTGTGCCACACAAAAGTGTTTTTCACTACAGAAATACTGGCAATGTCTCTCACTAGAGAAACATATATAATGTGCCACACGAGAGAAATGTTTACAATTACTCTCTGAGAACAAGACGATGACGTCACTGGTTTATAAACTGTACAGGTACATATCTGCCGGGAGGGTTTCTGATTGGCGTCAGCTTCTTGACCTCTGACCAGAGAATGTTGGCAGTAGGGCTCATGGTGCTAACAATGACTACACAAGCCTGCACCATGGCTTCCTTCAGGGTCAACCACCTCGATATTGCGCCAAGGTGAGCAAACAAACAGGAATATTAATCACATTTGTTTGATTTCTATAACGCACATATATTAAGGAATGAGAAAGGGCAATTTGTGGAAAAATCACGTGGTTTCACAAAGTGCAAAAAAGATAGGATGGTATGTTTCAGGTATAACGCTCTGGAATGTTTCAGTTATGACGTTTTGGAATGTTTCAGGTATAATGGTGTAGGTTATTTCAGGTATAATGGTGGGTGTAATGTTTCAGGTATAATGGTGTAGGTTATTTCAGGTATGGTTTAAACATATTTTTATTTCGTCAATGCAGAAATCTGGATAGGCGAACAAGCCTAGTGGCTTATATAAACGCCGCTCCAGTACACGGTTCCAATATAGCTGGATACATATTTGAAATAGACGGACAAGAAAAGAATTATATTTAGACAAGATTACACTCAGAAAAATGATTGAATAATAAATATGTGGTTATGGTGTTGGTTGTGCCTAGCAACGAAAAGAGCTGCCGCAGAAAATCAAGTTATATAAATCTTTTCTTGCATTGAATATACATGTATATGTAGAGATGATAATCACTGGAAGCGCTTACTTTTAGAAATAAACTGGTGTAATGAGTTGAGAATGTCACAATTTGTTCAGGTATAATAGTGGGTGTATGTTTTAGGTATAATGGTGACGTATGTTTCGGGTATGATATTCAGGTATGTTTCGGGTGTCACCTTCTGGTAATGTTGCATGTATGACGTTCTGGTATGTTTCCAATATGACGTTGGTGTTGGTTTTAGGTATAATGGTGTGGTATGTTTCAGGAATGATCAGGTATGTTTCGGGTGTCACGTTCTGTTATGTTTCAGGTATGACGTTCTGGTATGTATCAGGTATAACGGTGTGGTATGTTTCCACTTTGAGGTGTAATGGTATGGTATATTTTAGGTATGCCGGCCAGGTGATGGGCTTCACCCTGACGATTGGAAGCTGTGCCGCCATCATATCGCCCCTCATCATCTCCGCCATGACTGTGGACGTAAGAGACGTTGTTCCAGTCGCATTTCAAATTCTTGAGACATTAATCTGGAATCTGAAAAGTCAACATTCAAAAGAACGCAGATCTTACAGTAATTCAAGATCGGATAGTGCTGGGGTGGTCATGTGGCCTAAAGCGTCGCTACTCGCTAAACCGTTCACTCGTCACGCCAAAGACCCGGGTTCCATTCCCCACATGGGTACAATGTGTGAAGCCCATTTCTGGTGTCCCCGCCGTGATATTGCTGGAATATGGCAAAAACACGGCGTAAAACTAAACTCACTCACTCACTCGAGTATTTAAAGGTCACCGTAGCTGTATTATACTGAGTGAGTGAGTTTAGTTTCACGCCGCATTTAGCAATATTCCGGCAATATCACGGCGGGGATACCAGAAATACGCTTCGCACTGTATACCCGTGTGTGGGTATTCGGGTCTGCAGCGTGACGAGCGAACGATTTAACCACTAGTCTACCCCAGCTCCTCGTGCTATAGCAGGAATATTGCTGGCGCCACGTAAAACACTTCATATACTCACATGATAATGTTCCAGAGAACACGGGAACAGTGGCAGCAGGTGTTCTTTCTGACGGCGGGTATCGTCATGACGTCCGACGTTTTCTTCCTCATCTTTGGCAGCGGAAAGGAACAGGACTGGGCCAAGGAGGACCGTACTGACGTCATCCCTTCGGTCACTTCCGGTTCCGATGGCTCACCGACTGGTACGACAGGCGTCGAGAACAGGAAGAAAGGAACTGAAACATCCGACGAACATTCTGTTCACCGTCAACGCTCAAAGGAAACGTCGGAACTGAACGCGTTGAAAAATGGAGTTATCAACGCCGCATTTGACCTGTCTGGTGACTTGGTCGATGAAACAAGCCACAGCACGGAGTCATGTCATGGCGGAACGGCCAACAACCACGTGGACAAGCAAGTAACACGGCTTTAATGCCGGAGATATAGGCTTGATATGCAGTGAGGTTGTGCCATCTCGTCATGGTAACCGTAACCAGAGAAACACGTGATGCCATCGCCCGTACGTCTTTATTGTTGCCAAACTCATATATGTAGAACCTGGATTAAATATTACAAATAAAGTAGATTTGGTTGGAATTAGTTCTTTTCCCTTTTTGACCGCCTTTAATGCGTCATTGCCTGTACACACAATATTCCTCGCATTTGGTTAGAGCAGTACCCTGGTTGATCTCAATGTTATTCCATTCTGGAGTTGCGATATGTTGTGCACGGGTTCAAAACCAGGTCAACTGTTTAAAGCAGAACGACCACCTCCCCCTGGAGTGATTGAGTATAGTTTTACGTCGCTTTAGCAATATTCCAGCAATATCACGGCGGGGCACACCAGAAGTGGACTTCACACATTGTACCCATGTGGGGAATCGAACCCGTGTCGTCGGCGTGATAGCGAACGCTTTAACCACTAGCTAGGCTACCCCACGGCCCCACTTCCTGGAAAGAACAGATCCAGTGTGTCGTCATACTCGACGCTCACACTAGCGGCCACTGGTTTTGGAGCTCAACCAGATATTAAATTTCACGGGAGATTTTGCGAGATCACGGCACTTAATCTCAGAACATTTGATAAAACCAACAATTCCTTTTAAACTGAAATTAGCCCCAGTGAGATGGAACATTCAGAACCTGAGGAAATCTACACTTGCTTCATTTAGGGCAAAGAAAGGCAAAATAATGCGGTTCAGGGACTATGAGACAGACTACGTCCCTCGTTGGTTTTACGCCGCTTTTAGCAATATTCCAGCAATATCACGGCGGGGGACACCAGAAATGGGCTTCACTCATTGTACCCATGTGGGGATTCGAACCTGGGTCTTCGGCGTGACGAGCCAACGCTTTAACCACTAGACTAAACCCACCACCTCCACCACCCCACCACCCCCACCACCCTCGCTACTACTTGAGGGACCAACGACATCTTCATTTCTTCAAAACGTACAAATATCTGGCCTGAAAGGCGGAGTCAAACATGTGGAAAATATACATAATCGAATAAAATGCATGCCCCAAAGGATTTTTCTATCTTTGAGACAAACAGGACTCAAATGAAAGCTGGCTTACTTTGCTGCCATTAACATCACCAATACAAACTTGAGGCGCACCTAAAATCTCTCAACGTGTGCAAATATGGAAATGACAACATCCGTGATGAAAATATTTATATACTTTATGACCGATGTATACTTATCAAAAGCGTTAGATGGAATACAGTAAAACCCACAGAAACAAATAGATGTTTTACAAAACAATGTATTAGCAGAGACCATATAATATCTATTATATGGTCTCTGGTATTAGCTAATCAGATCTTGTATCTTTACTAGTCAGTTGTGCAACATATATGGGTTTTTATGCCTTGATATTTTTATCCCGTTCAGTATCATCACAGAGGTTTGGTTGTGTTTGTTATTTTCATATAAGGAACAGAAAACATCTTTCCCTGTTTGACAACATAATCTACAACGCGCATATTAAGATTTGGTAAAACCCATTCGGGGCCCTTTTTAGTTACCCAGCATTCTCAAGTTTAGCGGGACATGCGCGAAACAGAAAGTAAACACCGGAAGTGCATTGTGATCACAGGCACCGTGTCGAGAACGCAGGTGGAGATTTCTGTGTATTTCTGGTTCTTCACAAACAATGCAACTGACAATAACCTCATTATCTGACGACATTTTCACCCTCGAAGTCAGTGAGGATTTGGAACTCGAAAACTTTAAAGCTTTGTGTGAATTCGAGACCGGCATCTCATCTAACGAAATCGCTATTCTTTGGAATGGACGTCCGCTCCAAGATGACAAGCAAACACTGAAACAATACGGAATTAAGAATGGAGATGTCCTGTTATTACAGCAGTTACGTAGTGGACAGAGAGCTGGAGGTCAGGCGGCGTCCGGCCAGTCGTCGGCAGGGGCTGGAGGTACACTCTTGAGTCTTTCTCACTGAATAATTTTCAAAACCGTTTACCTTTATCTTGTCCGTCAAAAGTTACCAATAAACTACGGTAGCAGACGAAATTTTGATGTGGGGAGTGCTATTTGTGATATCAATGTACATGGACAGTGGTCAATAATGTCATGAGCATGACGTTGCAGACATTAATAATTTTTATTTATAGATAAGGGTATTTCCATCATGATGTAGCCTTCCGGTAACAAATGTATCAGAGCTATTTCCGGAGCACCAATAGAGTCTATGCCCCTAACCCTAAACCTTACCCTAACTCTAACTCTTAACACAAACCCTAACTCCAGTGGAACATGTTCGCCCCTAACCTAACCCTGGGGGGCAAACAGTTTCTATAGTTACACCCCATTTCTCACATAGTTTAACACAATAGTCTGATCATATTGATGGGCTTGGTGGTGTTTTGTTTTCTGTAGCACACATCAGGTCCCATTGTCTAAGGTGTACAGAGTTGCATCCTTTAGACATGCCAGATACCTGTGATCGTTGATCCGAATCCATGATGAGGCCTAAAAAAAAAAATTGTGGTTCCGATTACCCAACTGACCCTTGAATTCTGGTGCTGACTTTGTCTGTTTTAGGCGGTATGAATGAAATAAGCTTTCACATACCATTGTTTTTTCCCGTCACCGACAGACATTGGCCATTCTGATAGAGAAAGTCGACATGATGGCAGCAAGCTTGATTGAATAAACAATTACACATTGATAAATGTGTTTTTTAGTTTGTACTTTACTTCTAAAAAAATGTAAAAAAAAATGATCCTACCTACCTACCCTAAATTTCATTATTTGTATTTGGCCTTATCCAAATGCCTCTTGGTTTGCTGCACCATACTTATTCTCTTGGTGTTACTGTTAGCAAAGTTGTATACATCACTTAGAGCTTTCTCTGACATAAATGTCCTTTCTTATGGAAAAGACACATGATCAAGTCTATTAATCATGATTGTTCCATTTGTGTCATATGATGAATGTTAAACACCAGTGTTTGAAATTATGGGACATACTATTTAAATCTCTGGTCCCTCTGAATCTTCATTTGTAACATTATCACTGATTATGGGCATGACACTGAAAGCTGTAACAAGCAGTGTTACACTCACTGCTCAATTATCATGTTTAGATATTAGATATAATACAAAGAAAGTGACCAAACTAACCTCATTCTTGCTGTCTGAAATGAGAAACATTTATCTTCAGGGGGCAAAGTTGACATACCAATATATGTAACTACTAGTAAATGTTCTTTAAAGTATCAGTGTCACTAACCTGTCTCACTTTCTATTATCCTTGCAGCTCTGCCGCAGATCGACTTTGGCAGTATTCACATCCCTGGCGCCGGACCAGCTGCAGCACCCAGACCCACCCAATCCCAATCCCAATCCCAATCCCAATCCCAATCCCAATCCCAATCCCAGAACCCAACAGCTGCCATGATGGAGGACCCGGACTTCATCCGCCAGATGCTGCTTTCAAATCCTCACCAGGTGGCGCTACTCAAAGAACGAAATCAACCTCTGGCTGAAGCTCTTGCAAGTGGAAAACCAGGTATGTTGAATAATAAGTTTGAGTTGATGGCTCACATTTACTTTGGTCAGTAGGTCAAGACTAGAGGGCACACGCCAAGAAACACTTGGGTCTGACTGGGGATGTCTATCAGTACAAGATGTGTACGCTGTGTGTGACTCCTTTTGGCCTCCTGTCAGATACCAAGAGTATGTCAGAGTAAATACACACAGTGCAGTCTGGTATTAAAATGTCTGTAATAATTTCTCCATAGTACAGGTAAGCTATAGTGCCTTATATTATGGTTCAACACTGTATATATGAGGACCAATTGTGCAATTCCTTAATATTATTGATATGTTAAGTATGTTTACTTTTGTTATCCTAATCTGAGGGACAGACAATCATTGTTGTTTATTTCAGAGAAGTTTCGTGAAGTATTTGTAAAGCAGCAAAAAGAACGTCAAGAGAAAGAGAAGGAATGTATACGCCTTGCCACCGCTGACCCATTTGATGCAGATGCACAGAGACAGATTGCAGAGGAAATAAGGTCAGTTGATGAGCAACCACCTGTGAATTATTATATAAGTACAGAATGTTACATAAAACCTGGGGTGGTGGGGTAGCCTAGTTTATTGCTAAAAGCAGTGTAAAACTCTCTCTCTCTCTCTCTCACTCTCACTCACTCACTCACTCCATAAAACCTGATTGAACTCGTATGTCATGGATCTCTCAGTCCTGAAAAGCGTATTCCATTTGGTTATTGCTAGTGAAGAATTAGGAATTATCTGCACAATATTCTCAATAAGTCTGTGACATTACTAAAAATATAACAATATGACTGTTAAGTTAAGTTTGTGTTCAAGAGTGCTTGATGTATCTTTCAGGTTAAAGAATGTTGAATCCAACATGGAAACTGCTATGGAATTTGCTCCTGAGAGCTTTGGCCAGGTTGTCATGCTGTATGTTGACTGTATGGTGAATGGACATGCTGTAAAGGCATTCGTTGACTCAGGTAATAACTGAATCTTAACATGATTTGTAGTTATGGTAGATATGCATCTTGAAACAATTTAGACACCAGGTGCCCAGATAACAGGGAAAGAAACCTTTCAAAATCTCCCACTAGACCACAAGACCAGTGAGTGGACAATAATTAGTGGTCCCGTCTGTACCTCACTGGTCCAAAATAACATTCGTAGATTAACATAACTATCAATGCAAAATTCACTGGCCACCAGGACCACTGCAAACTTTCATTTAGTGGTCCTGATGAATGTTTACTAGCCAGAGACCATAGGACCAGCGTAAAGTTTGCACACTGAGATAAACATCACACCCATAGTATCAGAATATGTGTTTTATCATTACCCCACAATATTGTATCACCTCTGCTGCCTGTATCTCCATCAGAGTGAATTGACAATACTTATTGACAATATTGACACCAGGTGCCCAGATGACCATCACACCCATACTATCAGGATATGTGTCATATTGTGACGTCATGATATCGTATCACCACTACTGCTTGTATCTCCACCATTGTGAATTGACATTACATAGTGTCAATATAGACACCAGGTGCCCAGATGACCATCACACCCATACTATCAGGATAAGTGTCATATTGTGACGCTCATGATATCGTATCACCACTACTGCTTGTATCTCCACCATTGTGAATTGACATTGCATACTGTCAATATTGACACCAGGTGCCCAGATGACCATCACACCCATACTATCAGGATAAGTGTCATATTGTGACGTCATGATATCGTATCACCACTACTGCTTGTATCTCCACCATTGTGAATTGACATTACATACTGTCAATATAGACACCAGGTGCCCAGATGACCATCACACCCATACTATCAGGATAAGTGTCATATTGTGACCTCATGATATCGTATCATCACTACTGCTTGTATCTCCACCATTGTGAATTGACATTACATACTGTCAATATAGACACCAGGTGCCCAGATGACCATCACACCCATACTATCAGGATAAGTGTCATATTGTGACCTCATGATATCGTATCACCACTACTGCTTGTATCTCCACCATTGAGAATTGACATTACATACTGTCAATATTGACACCAGGTGCCCAGATGACCATCATGAGCCAGGCCTGTGCAGAAAGGTGTAACATCATGAGATTGGTCGACACGAGGTGGGCTGGCATCGCCAAGGGCGTTGGGACACAAAGAATTATTGGACGAGTTCATCTATGTGAGTCATGGGTGTCATTCTGCAATTTTTAATCATGATCCATATACTAGTCAAATAATTGTGAGTAAGCTTTTGATTAGTTCATGAAAGTGTTGGGCACAGAGTATGTATCATGTTTATGGAGTGTTTAGTATGGAATAATTTCAATGAAGATAACATCATTCAAAGTCTTTTCTCATGTCAGATCTTCAATTTAAGATCATCAGCATATTTATTCCTGCGCCAAAACCAGTGAAGAAGATGTTTTTACAAGATGAGGCTTTTGAAACATACAAAACTGAATTCAAACAGAAGTAAATCTCTTTCAGTCCAGATTGTTTACTCCCTTATAATACCTTTGGGTGAAGACCTCAGGACACCTCCATAGGAGCTTATGTTAGCAATTGTACCCATACATCTTTCACTTTGATTGGGCACTCAGAGTCTGCTCAATGACCTTCTATGGACATGATAGAATAGTCCTTAACTCTTGCCACAGATAGGGATTGTGTTAAGAGTAGATCTGATTCGATTGCGTTGAGAGCATGATCTTTATTTTGACCTAAACATTGTGAGTGTGAACTGACTGGAATAACTTGAGGTTTGTTGGATTATGGTCTTAAGACCAAAACATTAAAATGAGTTGCTGTTCAATATTGGAAAAGTATTGTACAAGACCGTTCAGAACTGTTTCTTGTAGATGATTGTGACAGATTCACTGCTGTTTCAGGTCAGATACAAATAGGACCAGACTACCTCCAGTCCTCGTTTTCCATATTAGAGGACCAGCCTATGGATATGTTGCTGGGCCTCGATATGCTCAAACGCCATCAAGTAAGTCAGTCAGCGTAGTGATTGCAGTGTCATGTCTTGTTTGAACCCGTTCGACTGAGATAGGTGTTCACAGATGATGATGGAAATGTAGTGTATGCAGAGCTGTGAAGTAGATTCATTACTTGATTAAAAGTAGACCCTCATCACAATTACTACACTTTCACTTATAGTCCGTTTGGCTCAAAAGCGGACCGATGAATTGCAATCGAACTCGAAAACTAATAAACATAAAATACTCATTGAAACGCTGATCATAATCAAAACATCATACCCACTCTGTGAGGTTTTTGCAGAATTTTTGTCCTAAAAATAATAAAGTTGTTTAACAAACTATCATTAAAATATTGACACAGTTCACTATTTGTTACGAGGGAGGAGTGCAGAGAAAGGGACAGCCAGGTGTTCGAGAAGCACGTTCACAGACAGTTATTTATTCATTAATCGTGCTGTGCCGTCTCCATCCGTTTTTCGAGTTAGATTGCAATTCATCGGTCCGCTTTTTAGCCAAACGGACTTTACACTTACACTTACAAGTCGTATGTATTGACCAGTGATGTGGAACATATGGTATCTAAACCCATGAACTGTTGATTTCATTTCAAACAGTAGCGATGGGGTAGCCTAGTGGTTAAAACGTTCGCTCCTCATGCCAAAGACCCGGGTTTGATTCCCCACATTTGTACAATGTGTGAAGCCCATTTCTGGTGTCCCCCACCGTGATAGTGCTAAAAGTGGCTTAAAACCATACTCACCCTCTCATTTCAAACATGACAAAACATGCTAAATGAAGACACGTGTCGTTGTGATCATTTGTCTTCACAGGTGAAGGAGGAAAATAGTGTATACAAACCTATGAAATATTGACAATGGCTATAATATTGTGCCAATGTTGCTTAGAGTATGGTGATGTGCTTCATTCAGGATAGCTTTATAGACAGGGTTTATAAATTACCTTTGATTTTGAAAAGTGTTACAGGGAAGTCACATTATATCTGAGGTCTCTTTATTCACAGTGATATAACAATGGTACTTACTGTTGAGTCTCTAGTTTATTAATAAGCTATTGACATGTGGAAAAGATATCATACTTACTTAGAAAAAATCAAATAATCAAATGATACTTGAAATTTGTATCTCTCTCATACAGTGTTTGCCCTTAACCCTGAAAATCTGCAGGCCCTAAGGACCCAGAACCATAAAAAGTTCTGATCAGAATGTGTAGGTCATTTATTTTAGCTACAATGTAAGTATTCACCAGCAAACAAGGCCATAAGGACCTGCAGAAAACAAAAGCTGTGGGTCCAAGTGGTTTTCAGTCGGCTTCGGGCCCGAGGACCGACCTTAATTTCGAACGCTGCTCTCATACAATAATCGATAACTGTATTCTAGCTATTGTTTCTACTCACAATGTACGCCAGTTAGGGATACAAGGTCACATGATCAGTATTATATTTCATCCTGACTGTGTATCTTTCAGTGCTGTATCGACTTAAAGAAGAACAGGTTAATCATTGGAACAACGGGCACTGAAACACAGTTCCTGGCTGAGGGGGACCTCCCAGAGCATGCACGTCTCAACCTCAGTAACCAGCCAAGTGTTGACAAAGAAGAAGAACAGCTAGCACAGGCTCTGGCTAAGTCAGCAGCTGAAGCAGGTAGGTTGTCTCCCCTTTGTTGGACCTTATTTCATATTTGTGTAGGCCCTTTTTCTTTTAAAACAACTGGTCCAGACGTTTGTGTACATTGTCTTTCAATGGATATGATTATTCACGTGAAGCGAAGCATATTTCATCAAGTAAAGTAAGAAGGAAACCCACTTTGAGATTTTCTTCATCTGATGTCACATAAGGGACAATAAAACGATGAAGGTGTAACACAGTGTTCATAAATGAGGTGCGGAAGTAAGAGGTCCTGTATATTCTGCGATATTTTCATCTTGGGAATATTGAGGGAGATGGGAGGTCTAATCATTTGAAGTGCCACAATTTGCTATGCAGAGTTATATCCCTTGGTCACACCAGCACCTAATGATTGTGTGTTGGGGTGACTATTGAGGGGGAAACAACTATTGCGATAGCGATAGACTATTGTAACATACTATTGAGATAGCGATAGTCTATTGTGATCAACTATTGCAACACAAACTCGAGTTTGAGAGTGTGAACATTCCAACAACTCGCCACCAACACCAGTTTCAGAGTTGTTAAACTGTTGTCGAGAAATAGGATCGGTCCCTATTCTCACCAACTTTTCCATCCAACTTTCAGTGTTGTCAAACTCGAGCTTGACGTGCTAAGTGTTGTCAAACTCATGTCGTTCAGAAACAATCAAACGCAGTCAAGGATGTTGTCATGCGACCACACCGATAGAGACGAGGCACTCAAATGACACGACAGTTAGACAACATGTGACAACTTTTAAAATTTCAGCAACATGCGTTGTCAAACTTTAGTTTGCCGTGTGAAGGCCGCATTACTCCTAGGTCTTTCACTTTGCATGTGGTGTGGTGGGTGGGATGACAATCTAATGATTATTGTATTGTGTTTGCTTCAGCATCAGGCAGCAAACCCACACCATCAACAAGTGGTACGAAGGACAGCAAGTCTGGTAGCTCCAGTGCTGCGCCTGCTCAGTCACTACCGTCATTCCCAGAGGAGGTTGTCCAACGCCTAATGTCACGTGGCTTCACTCGTCATGCTGTGTTAGAAGAACTTCGACTCGCTGGGGGGCATGTGGACACAGCACTAGCTGCCCTTATCGCAAAGTCATTTTCATTGCCTTAAAAGTCTGTTGCAGTTAAGATCTGAAGGAATATTTGTACAACCTGCCAAATGCACTCTCTCTTATGTATAAAGTTTGTGATATACTTGAATGGGTTTTGACAAAATGATTTTTTATTTCCTAGTAAGAAAACTTTGGACTTCATTCTTGTTTTTCCTCAAGTCACACAGAGGAATGTGCGGACTTGTGTCATGTAATTTGAATTTCTATATGATGAAAGGAGCTTGGTCATCACATCAGCTTGATGTGTTCGACAGAAGCAGCATGATTTCATTTCACAGAAATAATTACAGCCGCTGGAGGCTCTCTATCAGTTTCATCGATTTTGTCATTATTAATCTAAGAAGAGATCACCCCATGTCTCCATTAGCATAAATTCATTCTGTGACCATGGTAACCAATGTTGGCATTAAAAATCTTTCCTTAGTTTTGGCATGGTAGTTCCATCAACAAGTGCCATGATCTTTCAGCCAGAGTTACATCCCTTAGTTGTGTCAGGATCTCCTGAGAGTGGTTTTGAATTATCACTGTGCTGATTTAGATTCTTGGTTTGTCATACCACAGTTACAAGGGTTTAATAATGTGGTAATCATAAAAACCTTCACTTTTATCTTTCCTTCTGTGCTATCACTGAATCCCCCTACACAGCTGCATTGGGGTTGTGGGGTAGCCTAAAGCGTTCACTCATTAAACCTAAAGTCAGGGTAGATTCCCCCATGTCTATACAGCATGTGAAGCCTAAGCTAAAGCAGCATAAAGCAATACTAACTCAAGGCTTCGCCAAACCCCAACTGACCACTTCTGTATCATTTATTTGTGAAAGAAAGATCAAGCTTTAACGTGTCTGATGCAGGAGTGAGCTCCAAAAACCTGCAAGCAAATACTCTATGTTAACATTTTAAGCATATTCCTCCCACCCTTCAAGAAAGAGAGACCCATGAAGATCCGGGTAAGAATTGATCTTCAGTAACCCATGCTTGTCGTAACAGGCGACTAATGGGATAGGGTGGTCAGGCTTGCTGACTTGGTTGACACGTCATCTTATCCCAATTTCGTAGATTGATGCTCGCTGGTAATCACTGGATTGTCTGGTCCAGACTGCTTCCCTATAGCAGCGAGTAATATTGCTGAGTGCGGAGTAAAGCTAATTCACTCACTCTTGAAGAACATTTCTGCTGACACTTGCCACAAACTGGCTTAAAATAGCCAGCTTTTTATAGTTAAAAGGTATAAATGTATTGTAGGGCCGTGAGCCAGCTGTTGTTTCTTGGATGATATTTTAAGAAGCTATGAATGAAAATAACCTGTTTAATGCCCCAAAGTGCCTAAGAAGCTAGATAGTTGCTAAATGCAGGGTCAAAATCTAACTCTTCCACAGATCACAGGGCTCCAGATAATTTCTCAACATCAAGAATATGTATATTCTTTATTTGTTCAATATAGGAGTACCGGAAAACCTTAAGAGTACATTTAGAGTGCTGAATGGAAAAGAGAATCAGTAGTCTTGTGTTTCGTTTCATATATGCACCACAACAGGTCAATGAACAATAAAACAATACTTTTTCAGATAAACACGTCTGTAAATGATTCTAAGACCGTACACCATTGATGTGGTGCGTATCTGGTATGTTTCCTAAATTATTTCCTACTGTATCATGCATATTTTTTATCCGTACATACGCCGATACGACCCTTATCTGGAGCCCTGGATCACTTGCACAGCTTTGGAGCATTCTTGATGGACATTCTTGATGGGTTAATGTATCACCATTCTGTTATGAAAACTACCCTGGACTAATTCTCTGCAGTTGGCTTGTTTTGATCCCAATTCTCACTGCATAATGCTATAAATAGCTATCCAATCAAGTTCACTCTTTCAATACCACCCAACCAGAAGCTTTTACTGCCAAGACACCGGTTCCCAGAGACTCTGAGGTCATTAATGAAACCTATGTTTATAAAGGAAAGCATTAGCTTGTAAAACATTATTGCTACTACATGTTATACACCATTTGAAAGGTCTAATCCTGCTGTTGATAAATATGAAAGTTATCTTTATCATATCATTCAAACAATAAACTTGCAACTTCAGTAAGTTTATTTTTAATGAAAATGCAAGCTTACACATTTATGTTGTCCAGATAAACCACAAAGGAAGCAAAAACAGCAGCAATTATAGTATGACCAGAAATTATTGAGAATTTTAGGAATATGTTTAATTGGATATCTAGTATAAACAACCTTGACCAGCTATCAAGTGCTTGGTTTCATTCAAGAGAGACAACTCCGTTAATCATTTTTCATTAGTTTGTGAAGTTATGCCCCTATATTTACTTGCTAGCAGACAGCATTTTCAGTGATACTCCGTATGGATGATTTAGAGAAGAGGAAGTTTATAGCCCTGACCTAAAAGCAATAGAAAATGTTTGGGGACTTATGAAGGAAAGTGTCAATAAGAAAAATCTGACAAATATTGCTGAAATGAAAGAAGAGGTGGTCCGATATTGGGACAGCATGGACCACAACTTTCTAACTTCTTTGATCAGTAGTATGCCCTGCCGCATTGAAGCCTGCATTGCTGCCCATGGTGACTTGACAAAATACTAACTGTTCACCTGTCTTTGAATCTGGAGTTATGTTCTGCTAATATTCACATTTAATAAGTGAGTAATGAGTGAAATTTCTTTTACAAATTACAATCTTAAATTCTCAATAATTTCTGGTTGTACTGTATGAACACAGAGAGAAACTCATATCTAACATGCTTTGTCTGATGCCAGTACAATAAGATGTCTTTGGGTAAATCTTTGTAATAATTGTCAACTTTTCCGCAGTACACTGTGGCACAAAATATACTTTGCCGGTTCCAAAGAGACACCATAAATTTGGGATAACCAGTGTTTAACATGCTTGACCTGTCAGTTTGGTCATCCCTTCCCCATTATGCATTATTCTACACCACATGTTGTATAAAAAAGATATTGCTCTGTGAGCAAATTGTCCACCTCTGGTTTGGGGAGTCTTCACCATGTTTACTCAGACCACACTTGCTTTATTTAATGACTGACAGAGTTTTGCTCACCAGTGATTTGGGTCAGTTGAAATAAACAAATATGATTTTGTGTAAAACAATAGTTTTGTGTTATATTTGGCATGTTGTAGGGGTTGGTTTAGTGGGGGAAAGATGTACTCATACTGTTGAATGTGCAGAATTTTAATATATTTGAAATGAAAATTTTTACTTCAACATTAATCAGTTATTAAGGAGGCTTCATTGACTTTATAAGATTAATGTACAATGAATTCAATCTGTTGTTCCCTGATGTTAAGATATGTTTTACGTTGTTAGAGTTTCAGGGGCATGTAGAAAAAATGTGGAAATAGTAATACTAGTTGATTATTGTTTGAAAAGAATGTCTGCTTTCTCAGGATCAGTTACAGGAGGATTGCCTGCGCTTCGTTTCACAAAGCAATCTTAGCGCTAAGGTAACTCCCATACTTTAACATGGGCCTATGTAGTGCTAAGTTTGCTGTAGCGATAAGGTAACTCCCATACTTTAACATGGGCCTATGTAGTGCTAAGTTTGCTGTAGTGCTAAGGTAACTCCCATACTTTAACATGGGCCTATGTAGTGCTAAGTTTGCTGTAGTGCTAAGGTAACTCCCATACTTTAACATGGGCCTATGTAGTGCTAAGTTTGCTGTAGTGCTAAGGTAACTCCCATACTTTAACATGGGCCTATGTAGTGCTAAGTTTGTTGTAGTGCTAAGGTAACTCCCATACTTTAACATGGGCCTATGTAGTGCTAAGTTTGCTGTAACTGTGCTAAGGTAACTCCCATACTTTAACATGGGCCTATGTAGTGCTAAGTTTGCTGTAGCTAAGGTAAGGTAACTCCCATACTTTAACATGGGCCTATGTAGTGCTAAGTTTGCTGTAGCGCTAAGGTAACTCCCATACTTTAACATGGGCCTATGTAGTGCTAAGTTTGCTGTAGCGCTAAGGTAACTCCCATACTTTAACATGGGCCTATGTAGTGCTAAGTTTGCTGTAGCGCTAAGGTAACTCCCATACTTTAACATGGGCCTATGTAGTGCTAAGTTTGTTGTAGTGCTAAGGTAACTCCCATACTTTAACATGGGCTTATGTAGTGCTAAGTTTGCTGTAGCTCTAAGGTAACTCCCATACTTTAACATGGGCCTATGTAGTGCTAAGTTTGCTGTAGTGCTAAGGTAACTCCCATACTTTAACATGGGCCTATGTAGTGCTAAGTTTGTTGTAGCACCAAGTTTGCTTTGTTAAACAGGGGCCTGGGTATTATGCAGAGTGAGAACAGAGGCCATGTACTGATATGTCCTCTGGTGAGGTACAATTAGGACATCCACCTGAAGCAAGGGAGGTAACTGACTAAAATGAAGCATGCAACTTTATGGATGACAACTTCTTGTTTATTGCATAGAGCAACATTTCGACGTAGATTCTTACACCATTGTCAAGCTAAAAGTCAGCTTGATAACGGTATAAGAATCTACATTGAAACATCGCTCTATGCAATAACAAAGACGTTATCATCAATAAAGTTGTATGCTTCATTTTTGACTCAGCAACTTCTAGAATGTCGATCAAACAATTAGTTAACTGACTAGGTTGGAATTCCCAAGTTATGTTTTACCTGGACTTACAAGGTTATGCACAGTTTATTACAATCATGTAACAAAAGATGATCCTGTTCGTAAGCACTATGACAACTACCATAAAGATTTTGGTCAGATGCAAGCTTTACAAAGCATAAGTACCCTCAATCATCCAATCATTTGACTGGGTGCTGCTATTGTGTTGAAGGCAGATGCAAGTGAAAAGATAGATAGAATCTGGACATTAACATGATTATATAACATATGTTATATTTGGGATTACACTTTCTTTGTAAAGTACAGATTCTAGTACTTTTGTTGGGTTGAGTCCCATCCGGGATTCAAACCCACACCCTCAGAGTCAGGCAACTAATCACCAGTACAACATGATTATAGTCTGTTTGCAGTGAAAACATACCAATGAATTTAACTTGAAGCAAAACAGTAAATCACATAAAGTGAAATTAAGATTGCGAATCCTCATAATTTTACCTTGCCAATTGAACATTTATGTCTCAGAATTTTATTTAACTTAGGATAAAAGTTGTTTCACAAACTAAGAAGGTAAGTAATTAAGAATGAATGAACGAGTCACCATTGCATTTGGTAATTGCAAGATCAAGTTCTGTTCAACTTTACATGATCATGATGTTAAGATTCATAGTTTTTCAATATGTGTCCTTT